ACACACAGAGGAAAAAAGTGACTTCCCCAAAACTGCAATGAAAGGTTTCTCCCTCAAGGGACAGCAGTGAGTCATGTTCTGAGACATCGAAAGTCATGATCAAAAAATTAGTGAAGCTCCTTGTTTATCTAGAGTAAATGCATACATATCTGCTCTTCTGGTTAACAGGTCAAAAGCCATAAGCGGGCCTGATGGGAAAAAAAAAAACAAAAAACAGGAGGGTCTACCTTGGTGGGCAGACCTGCCATGTTCCCTCTGCACCCGTGAGCGGGTCCTTAGCACCCCCTCTGTTGTCTGTGTGTGACCCCTGAGACCCAGCCAGCGGCGCTGGTGCCTCCTTAGTGTTTGAAACAGTGCAGAAACGTCGTGCTGAACTGAACAGGAAGTCGCTACACACAGTGTCTGTGCTCATAATCCAAATGGATGACAGTATTTTTTGTCTCTCAGCCATTAGGATTCAGAAGCACTGGGCTGCAGTTCCGTTTCTGATATATAGTATTCTTGACTTAGAAACTGCAAGTCTGGCCGTTTCCAGCCAGGGGTACTCGCCTGGGTCTCGGGGCAGGTCCCTGATTGGGGGCGCGTGGGAGGATTGGGGACGCGTGGGAGGCGGCCAATCGATGTCTCTCTCACACACGGATGTTTCTCTCCCTCTCTTTCTCCCTCCCTTCCCCTCTCTCTAAAAAAATAAATAAAACATTAAAAAAATAGAAGAGTCACCCAAGTGGTGACGAAAGAAGGCTTGACTTTGGGTGGTGAACATGCAAATGATGGACTATAGAATTATACACCTGAATCCTATATACTTTTATTAACCAGTGTCACCCCAGGAAATGCAATGAAAATTTAACCAAAGAAGAGGAAGAATTACCCAGCAGTGAACTCATGTGTAAAGAGAAGCACATCCTTAGGCCTATGTGGATTTAGGCGGGGAGGTTCCCAAGGGCCTGTCACAGAAACTCCCAAGTTTAAATCTAGTGCTTCTGACTGACGATGAAAGTGGCGTGGGTTGCATTCGAAGATGTCCATGACTTGCAGTCTTAGGCCGTTGTGGTCATTCTGGGCTTTTTTAGATTATGTCTAAATTCCATGACTCTGACTCATTTAAAAAAAAAAAAATCTTCTGAACGTCTCTGCTCTACAGTGGTGTTGCTATAAGACACAGCATTAGAGTGGAAAATTCAATTATAAGAAAAAGCTGAAGGTCTGGCTTAGAATGGAACTACTGTACCTCTTTAAGAGAGCTGCTATCTTCAATAGTTGCTATTTTTAGCCCGACTTCAAAAGAGGTGAGAAAAGTGAAGCTTTTCATCTTTCCCGTGGTGTTCGCCTGAAGAGGTGCACTTTCTAAAATACCTAGTTACCCTCTGGTTACTCCAGGCACATTTCTGAAAATACTATTGAAGATATTTTTTAAAATATCCGTTATAGTAAGTAACTGATGAAGCTGGCTCCTTCCATGCCTATAAAGTAAACACAACAGCTTACTAAACAAAAATAGATTTTTCCATATTAAAGCTTGGTCGGAACAATGGCGCATTCCTGGGCCCAGGACTCCTAAGCGAGTATTAATTCAAAGCAGATGGGGGCGGGGGCTGCGGATCAGACAGCGGGCGCTGTCCTCCCGCGGCGGCCCGGCTGCAGGGTGCCGCGAACGCGCCTCTAGGTGCCTCCCCCTCCTTTCCGGGAGAGGGAAACCGTGGGGATACAGCGACGCGTGCCGTCTGCGCCTGCGCTTTTGCGCTCCAGACAACCTCCCCGAGAGACCACGCCCCTCTGGCGGAAGCGCTAGACCTCCTCGCTCGAGCGTGCGTGCATCCGGTGTGTTTTCCCCTGCTCGGCTACCCCTGCAAGCTGGGCTTCACGCGCGTCACTGCTCGTGTCAGTGGCTCCCCCCCGTTGCTTCTCGTGGTCCCTCGTGATGTGCTCGAGTTTCTGCAAACAGTGTGGAAAGGACATCAGGAAACGATTACGAGCTTACAAAAGGAATCAGATGGCCCAAGCGGAGGTCTCGTTGCAGACCGGGGGTGGGGGGCGGGGGCAGGATCACGGCCATTGTCATCCAAACCGAGCTGGGGCACCCCCACGGGGCCAGTCTCGTCGGTGAAGCATCCCTTGGCTGTGTGATGGATTCGTGGGCAGGAAGCACTGTCGGCTCCTGTGGTCTCCGCGTGCATACACGTGTAAACACATACATACGTGTACACGTTATAATGGCGTTCTGTCCTCTGGTTCAGAACTGAACCATTTTAAAAATTCGCCAGGGCAGAATCATTCCCCTAAAACTAATACAGGGGCTCGCCGTCTCATTTCGTGTTAATTCTTGCTTATGGAAAAGGTGGACAACCCCACCCCCTGCCCTGGACTTTTGTGCTTTTCTGAGGAACGTTTGTGAATGAAACCGAGAAGTTTTTAGACATTTGAGGTCTAAACACTGGGAATTTCCCTGTTTTTTTCCCCCCCATATTCATAACAGTGACAAATGACAAAAGTCCAGGTACTTGGAAGAGTTCAGAGGGATTCGTGCCGGTCACTGCAGAGGAGCAGACGGGGTGCACGCAGGTCCGGGGCGGGGCATGTACACAGAGGGGGGCACGGCCCTCAGGGCGGCAGGGCCCCCAGTGTCTGCCGGCCTGGGTGATGCATTTATGGGGGGACCCCGTAGCAGCAGAAGCTGAACAAAGCATATGGTCTAGAAGGGAGCTCACGAGCCGCTGACCAGGAGGAAGAGTGCGGCAGCCGAGGTCACCGAGGGGAGCTGAGAGGTGGACCCTGTGGCTTTGAGGTACCTGGGGGCCTTAAGAAACTAAACCACCCCCAGTAATGAGGAAATTCATTTGGAAATACTGATATGGTTACCTTGATTTGGGAAGCGTTTACGTGTGAATGCAGAAGAGAACCAAGTCAGGTTCTTTTAAGTGACCACCTTGGGCTTTTGCCAGGATGCGTATGAGTCAGTGAGTCGGGGAAGTGAAAACCAGGTCAAGCCTGCAGGTCCCAGAGGCAGGAAACCGGTGAAAAACGCCGAGATGCCGAAAACCAGCAGGCGATGTTATCAGCGATCAGATAAAAAGGGGGGTGAGCTACCCCAGGGTGTCTTGTTTTTAGGGTTTACATTTGAACGTGCTTGTTTTTCCTTTTTTTTTTTTTAACTATTGGGTTCGGTAAAACAGAACAAAAGCCAAACAAACAGAAAGTTGCCTTGGTTATGTTGGAACGAGGCCCTTTTCCTGTTGTGCGTTTGGCTCTGTGTGGCAGGTTTGCCCAGGCGCCCGCAGGCCAGCTCGCGCCTGCACCTGGCGGCGGCGGGTCAGCCCCCCGCGGACCTCAGATGGTCTCAGGGATTCGTGAGCTTCTGTGCATCCGAGGAGCCTCCGACGTGCTGCGTGGACGCAAGCTGGTATGACCAGCCGCACGATCTCTGGTGTCTGTGGACGGCTTCAGAGCTTACGGGCGTTCTTGTTGGAGCTTTAAAATCGATTCCGCACCTGTCAACGAGTGCCCCTCTCTTGTGGGCACGTGATAAACCAGAGCAGGACTCAGAAGAGAGAAACCCACGTGTGAACTTTGTAATCGATCATTTAGGAGAAAAGCCACGCGGTGAAACACAAAATAGCACGTGTGCGCACACACACACACACACACACACACACACCTAAAAAGCACAAAGAGGGTGCCATGCTTCCTGCTTCTTTCAAGTAGATACTAAAAATACACATCGTGGAGGGGTTTAGGAAGGTCCATTTTGATCAGTGGTTCCTATGCCATTTTAGTTCGTGGACCCCATTGAGAATTGAATTTTAAAAAGTATGGATTTGCTCATCTCCTCCTCAAAAAAACAGAATATATATGTGTATATATAAGTATGTGTGTGTGTGGAGGTTCTTTTTTTTTTTAAAGATTTTATTTATTTATGTTTAGAAAGAGGTGAAAGGAGGGAGAAAGAGAGGAACATCAATGTGTGGTTGCCTTTCATGCACCCCCTCCTGGGGACCCGGCCCACAACCCAGGCATGTGCCCTGACTGGGAATCGAACCAGCAACCCTTTGGTTCACAGGCCAGCACTCAATCCACTGAGCCACACCAGCCAGGGTGATAGGTGGAGGATCTCACAGGGGCCATGCGAACACAGAAGTCTGTGACTCTGGCCCAAGTGCAGGTGACGAAGAACGGTGACTCACGTCGCTGTCTAACTAGAAAGGAATGCCAAGCTAAGACAGCAAAGGTCTAGCTTTGTGACAAATGACGATGCACATCCTTACCTAAAGTAAATTCAAATTCTAAACCATTTTATTTAAAAATAGCACTCGCTATGCTATTAATAGCCAAGATATGGAAGGAACCCAAATACCCATCCGTAGACAAGTGGATAAAGAAGATGCGGTACATATATGCAGTGGAATATTACTCAGCCATGAAAAAGAATGAAAGCTTACCATTTGCAACAGCATGCATGGACCCAGAGGGTATTATGCTCAGTGAAATAAGTTGGACCAAGAAAGAAAAACACCATATGATTTCACTTAAATGTGGAGTCTAAAGAGCAAAATAAATGAACAAACAGAATAGAAACGGACTCACAGATGGAACAGACAGATGGTTGCCAGAGGGCAGGGGGTTTGGGGTCTGGTTGAAAAAGGTGAAGTGGTTGAGAAGTACCAATTAGTAGCTACAAAACAGTCATGGGGATGTGGAGTCCCACACAGGGAGTGTAGTCGATGACATTGTAGCACCTGCGTGTGGTGCCAGGTGGGCATGGAGTAGCGGGCGAGGAGGAGCACCTGGTAAAGTACATGATTATCTGACCCTTACACCGCACCCCTGACACTGACCCAAAACCATGTTGCATGCAAACTGTAATAAAAAATAAAACTTCAAAAGAGCTCCCGCTGACTGCAACACACTTGAGGGAAACTGGAGACCAGCCCCTCCCGTTTGCAGCTCGAGGCTTTTCTCTGGCCTCTGTAAACACGGGGGTATTCTCAATGTTTTGTCCTCAGGCACGACAACAAGCTCAGCTACGTCACCAAATGGCCGAGGACAGCAAGGCGGACTACTCCTCGATTCTCCAGAAATTCAACCACGAGCAGCGCGAGTATTACTACACTCACATCCCCACCATATTCCAGGTGAGTGGCTCACATCGTCCGACGGGCCGTTCTGAGAGGCACGACGTGGCTTTGGGACCCTGGTCGCTGCACTCACGTTCCCCATGTCCGTATGAGTCTAAACTCCCTGTAACTCAGTCACGTTGTAAAGCATTCACGTCCAGAAGCATCGACTAGCAGTAAAGGGAAATACACTATTAATCTCAAGACTAATCAATAGCCTTTGCAAACTCCCTGGAGCTGTCCCTGCAGTCCTAGAACTGTGATTCTTAGATCGATACTCTCTTTGCTAAAGCGACTATTCTTTAAAAAAAAAAAAAAAAAAGCCAATTTAACTGTAGGAATCAAAGCATCATCCATCGTTGGCAGGACTTACTTAAACAGGTGGCCATTCTTTGAATTGTTTCTCTTTTGGCTCCTCTGTGTTTTCAAACATAGTTTGAGAAGAGGCACCTACCTGTCCTCCCACTCTGAGAATCTTTTACAACTTCAGTTCCGGCTGTAGAAAAAATAATCAGTATTCGCCTCGGCGTCTGCACGCGCAGGGAACAAGGGTCTCCACCGTGTCTCGGGGAGGTGTGCCAGTCGCCGCCCAGCCTGGGGCGGGCGGAGACAGTGAACCAAACACGGTGCCTTTGGAAAAGGGCGAGAGAGTGAGTCCCAGGTGAAGGGAACGCTGGGCACCTGATACCAGACGGTGCTGACCATGCACGTGCTGGAGCTGGGGGTTCTCGCTGGAGCTGGGGGTTCTCGCTGAAACTGGAGTGGAATTGCCTTAAGCATACATTCGGGCAGCCTAACGATTAATTCACAAAACGCGTGTACAGTTAAATGCTGGGTCACCACGGTGGCCACATTCATCGTACTTGAACTTGAATGTTGCAGCAAATACAGGAGATGGAGGAGAGGAGGATAGTGCGGCTCGGGGAGTCCATGAAGACCTACGCGGAGGTGGACCGGCAGGTGACCCCGATCATCGGCAAGTGCCTGGACGGCATCGTGAAGGCCGCCGAGGCCATCGACCAGAAAAACGTACGTGCTGCGAGCGTGGCTCGTCCCCGACGACGGGCTGTGGTCCCGGATGCCCCCTCCCCCTCCCCCGGTGACCCCCTTCCTCCATCTCCTCCTGGGAGGCCGTGGCCCTCGGCGGTCAGGAGTCATTTCCCACAGTGGCCACTTCCCCTCCGTCTGAGTTTTGCCGCGTCAGGAGCCCCGTCCCACTTCTCATCGCCGTTGACGGGTCATGTCCACGCATCTCTGCGGCTGCAGCCGGGTCAGAGGCTCTCGGCGGCTCCGGCTGCCTGGCTGAGCAGAGGAGGTCGTCTCAGGGAGGCCCTCTCGGGTCGCTCCCTCTAGAATCGCCATCGCCGCCAGGAAATCACTGTGGCGGGGGGTGGGGGGTCTCTCCAGGGGAGGCCGGGGTGCGTGAGCCGAGCCCTGGGAAGTGCCGCCTCCCTGTGCGCTCTGGCTTTCCGCTCTGCCGACGTCAGGTGCTGGTTAAAATCTGAAACGGGCCTGATGTCCATGTCTTACATTAGAAGCTCGGAAATGTGTTTTCCCTTGAGATCGTACAATTGCTCAAGATTGCGTCAGAATGGAGGTTTCCCTTTCCTCGGTTTGGTCCGGGAACTGTGAGCCGCCTGGATGTGCAGACCACTGCCCTCGCCCCCACCCCCGCCCCCACCCCCCATCTGGGAGCCTCGTTTTCCGTGTGGTCGGTGACCATTCTTTCCACCTGTCATCTGTGTGTTGCTAAATCCAAGCGTCTGTTCTGAGTCTTCATTCAAGTTCTTAGTCAAGTTCGTCGTGGCCTGTCCACAGCCTGGGCCCCTGCTCACCTGCTGCCCCTTCGCTTGATTCCTCGGAGCCCACGCGGTGGCGGCTTTCATCCTCCATCGCTGGCCTTGTCTCCTCTGCTGGTCTGTCTTCTTGTCGTTTAACTTTGGGGTCCTCCGGGGCTCGGACCTCAGCTCTTTCTGTCCCTCACACCCCCGCCTCTGCGGGGTCTGTGGCCTCCTGGAGCGGTGCGTCCTGTCTCTGCGCTGACTCTACGGTTCGCCCCGGCCACCTCCCCCGCATTCCGGGTTCATCTTCACACCTGCCAAGGGGCCCGTCCGCTTGGATGTCTGACAGGTGCCGCGAACTTGGCACTTCCCAAACCGAACTGCTGACCTTTCCCGCCAGACCGGTTCCTCCCACGGCCTTCACTGTCCGGAGACTGGCATGTCCGTCCTTCTGGGACCCGGGGGTCAGACTTGATCTTCCCCTTTTCTCACACCTGTATCAGTTTGATCAGCCGATCCCCTTGGCTTTACCTTCAAAACACATTCCAAGCCAAGCAGTTCTCACCACCCCCCACTGTTTCTCTCCTGGGCCGGGAGCTCCCTCATCTGGGGTTACGCAGAAGGAGCCTGGGGGACCGCAGGAGACAACCACCTCATCTCTCCTCCTTTACCCACCGCTGCCCCGCTCCATTCTTCATGCCAAGCCTGGGGGACCCTATTACAATAACTCAGATCACGTCCCACCTCCTCCCGGAACCCTCCGTGGGCCTCCGCCTCTCTCAGAGGAAAAGCCAAGGTCAGCTGGAGCCTGCAAGCCTAACCTGTAACACCCTGAACTCCCTCCCCGCTTGTCTTCCTGACACCCCCAGTTCTTGCATCTCCCCAGTGCTCCCGCCGCAGTGGCCTCCTCATGGGTGGTCCTTGAACCCTCCCAGCATGCTCCTTGCCTCGCTGCTCTCTCGGCCTGGAGTACCTCTCCCACAGATGTCTGCACGACCCCCAGCCTCACCTCCTTCCCATCCTTAGCATGACTGTTCTGTCCTGTTCCGTGTCCTTCGGGAAGTCAAAGGTCGGACCTTTCTTAACCCATACAAGTCAGTTCGGCTCGCACATTCTGTTCCTCTTCCCAGACACCCCTGCCGTGTTCTCGCTGCGCTTTTTAGGCTTATCTTTCTCGGATTTGGTTCTGGATAAGGTATGTCAGGGTCTTGCCGCTCTGATCTCGGGCGTTCTTACTGTAGTTCTTATTTCTTCGTACCTTCTTCATCTGTGCCTACTTCTGTTTCATTACTGTGATGTTCCTTCTTAAATTTCTCCTCTTGAGAAACGCCGATTTTAGGAAACGATTCCCTGAACACCTCCTCCATCCCGCACCCATGACTGTTGTCCTCACCACGAGCCACCCAGGAGAGCCCTACGCTCAGGGAGGCCGCAGCCTGCCCAGGGCCCCCGAGTGAAGGCGCCCCGCCCTGCCCAGCCCCAAGCCCTCACCCCCCCCCCCACCCTGCTCCTTTGATTCCCAGAACCAGCACAGTCCTGGCACATGTCTGAATCTACTCACTCATTTATAAGTTCCAGGCACAATTCTGAAGAGGGAGACGGACAACAGCAAAACAAACGAGAACAGTATTTAGAGCATTCTGGGAAACAATAAAGCAGGACAGGGTGATGGAAAGTGACGCCAGGGGGGCTGGGGTGGCGTTCGTTCAGGAGGGTCCGCCGGAGCGCAGACTTGGGAGGAAGAGGTGATTGGAGGACGATGTCAGCGGGACCGGGTGAGGGGGAGAAAGCCCCCAGCGCTGTTACCCGCCTCTCCCCGCTCTGCGCAGTGTGTTGATCGCACGAGGACCTGAAAGTCCGAACTGGTTTATTTACATAAGGGGACTTCCCCCTCATGCCACATGGCCAGGTTTTCACCAGAACAGACGGAGGTCCTAGTCCCCGGCACAGCCGGGATTGCTCATCTGCCAGGGGAGGCTGAGCCTCGCACGACAAGAACACAGGCTGGTTAGTTTTCCTTTCACGGAAAAGATTTCCACAGACCGAGGGTCTCGCCAGGGCACGGGCAGGCGGTCCTCGTTTTCATGGACCCAGGCTCCTCCCAGTTCTCAGTTCTCAGTGATGCAAACTTGAAACCCAGAATGGCTTCCGGAGCTCCAGCCATCGCATCCCAATTCCAGAAAGCAGGTTAGGCGGGCGGGCCCGTGCCGTCCCTTTAAAGAGCCTTCCTAAAATGGCACGCTGTACTTCAGCCTGTGTCTCAGAGCCCTCAGGGGTCAGAGACAGGCAGCCCCCTCCGCTCTGCAGAACTGGGAGGCGTGAGCCTCTGCGCCACCGCCCTCTCCCCTGCGGCAGTGCGCCCCGCGGCAGTGCGCCCCGCCCAGAGCCAGGGTTCTTGTTCCTGAGAAGGAAGGGCGGCGGGCTCTCGGGACACAATTGACAGTCTGTGCAAGACCTACAAACGATTAGCTAAAATAACGGTGGCTAATTAAAAGATGGGCTTATGCTAAGTTGAAATCTTTTCAAATTTCCTTCTCTAGTTTTTTTTTTTAAATGAGATCATTGAACTAGAATGCTATCACAGATCACATGTGTTTTTGTAATATGTCATCTATACCTCAATTTCTTTTTTTTTAAAGACGTATTTATTTTCAGAGAGGGGGGAAGGGAGGGTGAAAGAGAGGGAGAGAAATATTGATGTGCGAGAGATACATCCGTCAGTTGCCTCTCACACAACCCCCAGCTGGGGAGCTGGCCTGCAACCCAAGCATGTGCCCTGACTGGGAATTGAACTGGTGACCTTTCCGTTCTCAGGTCAGCACTTAATCCACGGAGCCACACCGGCCAGGGCCATTTCTTTATTTAGGACACCGTGGTTGTGATTTTCTCACATACTGGTCCCCACCACCTGACTCGGAGGCCCCTGAGAACGTGTTGAACCCAGTGTTCCTAGCCGAGGGCGAGCTGTAGCATAGGCGTTCGGCTCATTGATTCACTCAGCAGCAGCAGCCAGCCAGGGAGCAGGATGGGGTGGAGGAAGGGCAGGAGAATGCACACTCTAGCAGAGGAGAGACGGCGTGGTTAGGTCCGTGGAGAAAATCAGGCAACAAGTTAATATCACAACAAGCCAAGAAAGTAGAGAGGTTATCTACTCTTTGCTCTGACTTTGTATATGCTAGATTGTTTTAAGAACTTCTGAGCCCTGGCTTGCGTAGCTCAGTGGATTGGGCGCCGGCTGTGAGCCAGGCATCACAAGTTTGATTCCCAGTCAGGACACATGCCTGGGTTGCAGGCCAGGCCCCCAGCAACCACACATTGATGTTTCTCCCTCTCTTTCTCTTTCCCTTCCCTCTCTAAAAAAGATAAATAAAATCTTTTTAAAAAAAGAGAGAGAACTTCTGATAGGAAACAGATTTTTGGATTACTGTATTTTTCAAGGGAATTGCTTAATCATGGCCCAAATGTTCCTGTTTTTAGCCAAGTTGTTCTTAATTAATAGATGTTTCTCCAAGTGCAGAAAACTGGTTATTGAAAGCATCTTCAAACTTCAGCTCGGCGTGTAACTTGACAAATTATTGTCTCTAATGCTAAAACCGCGTCTGGAAGAATATCTGTCCTCCATCCGCGGAACCCCCTGAAAGCAGTGCCCGCCTGCCTGCCTGCCTGTAGTGAGCGCGGCTCGCTGTGGGGGGCGCTGGCGTGTCCCTGAGCGTGTTTGTGTGCGGCGGGTGTGCTTTCAGGACTCACAGCTGGTCATAGAAGCTTACAAGTCGGGGTTCGAGCCGCCCGGGGACATCGAGTTTGAGGACTACACTCAGCCGATGAAGCGCACCGTGTCAGAAAACAGCCTCTCCAACTCCAGAGGGGAAGGCAAGGCCGAGCCCAAGTTCGGCGGCAAAGCCAAAGGGAAGCTGTGGCCGTTCATCAAGAAAAACAAGGTATTTCCCGACGGTTGGTGCCCGGCGCGGAAATGGGTCCGATCGAGTGGCAGGTCTTGACTTTGTCTTGTAGTCTTAAAGAACACGACAGCCACCTGGGATTCTAAGCCTGTAGCTTCCGAATGCACAAACAAACAAACAAACGAAAAACTAGTGTGTTACTTTCTTGGAAAACAGTATTTCTCTTTGGTGGTGGTCCCTTTGCCATGGCCATTTGTCTGATCTCACATGCACTGTCACTCTACCGTGTCACCCACACTAACAGATTCCCGACCTCCGCCACTCACCAGCGCTCCTGGGCGTCCCAGACGGCTGGCTGCCTGGGCCGGGGCAGGGGACCGTGTGCCGAATTCCCGCAACCACTGACCAGCCTGTCTAATTGACCTTGTTCCCAGGGGCTAAATAACTTGGTTTTGAGTTCCTCTAACATGTGGGTCCATGAACGTTTTCCGTTTGCTTTTTTACTACGGTGTAGTACGTAGGTGCATGCCGGCATTAACCGGGGCGAATAAGATGACGGATGCATCATTGCCGCTTTCGCCTTAGAGCAATGTACTCTTTAATTCTTAAAAAAAAAAAACTGTCTTGCTGTTTTCACAACTTTAGCCTCTAAGGTCTTTCATTTTCTCCCATCAAGCTGTGTAAGTTTAGGTGGTTTCAAAATATGTACCCCTCTGGCTTCCACGGGATCGGAGTAACCGATTAGAACGATTATTTGCATGGGAATGCCTGCCTGCATGAGCGGCTTGCGGAATATCTCCTGCTGTTCTTCTGTTGCGTTACTTACCAAAAACCCCCACTCTCATCCTTCTCTTCCTTTTGACATGTCCTCCATGTTTTCTTTTGGACCATGGCCCCGAATATGTAATGGTTTGTGTTTTACTTGCTTTGGATTTCAAATATGATTTGATGCTCACTTTTGTTTTGTGTCTTATCTTCTCGTTTCTGATTTTTGCTGTCACTGCTCCATCTCTCACACGTAGCTTATGTCCCTTTTAACATCCCCCCATCAGCCTCCCCCCCCTCCCCCCGCCTCTGCCTCACCCTCTGCTGTTCCCAACGGCCCCCAGTCTCCCAAGCAGCCAAAGGAACCCCTCTCCCATCGCTTCAACGAGTTCATGACCTCCAAACCCAAAATCCACTGCTTCAGGAGCCTAAAGCGAGGGGTAAGTCCTGCTCCCGAGTCCCGTCTCTCTCGTGCCCCTTTGGTTGCATGTTTCGTCCTGCATAACTTATTTTGTTTGTGAATGGACCCACGGCGTCTTCCCATAACGCAAAGCCAACGAGAACCTGTGATCCGGGGTGCGCAGTGAGGGAGAAGAGGAAGAGAGAGGAAGCAGGATAGCAGGATGGAGGAAGGAGAGAGCCAGCCAGCCAGCCCGGAGTTCCTTCTGTCTTTAGAACATTCTGGAAGGACTGGGAGATGGGGCATGAGAAGGCAGGGTAGGGTGCGGAGGTTTCGCTGGGTAATTCCTGGAACGCTGCGAACTGGGTGAAGACACCGCCCTCTGGGCTGTGCCTGGGGGTTGGCAGGGGAAACAAGGGTGAGCGCGGTTTCCCCAGCTGTCCGGGTGAGCGTAGAAGATGTTGCGAAAAGTTCTGATAAAACGTGTGCCTGGAAAAGGAGGACGGACGGCCAGGCGTTGAAGCCAGGGAGCCTGTTCCCAGCCGGGGCTTCCGCGGCGTCCGTCCGTCCGCACCGAGAGAGACTGTCCCAACGCAGGTGACCCGCAGCGGGTGTGGCCGAGACTCGGGCGCGCCCTCCGCATGACGACTGCGTGCGCTTAGGCCCAGGTTCCGTGGCCTTGACCCCGGGACCCAGAGTAGATGGCAGTGTGGAGGGACATCTGAATGAAGTGACAGGTCGTGTCCCGAATAAAGCTAAACTGTCGGTCTAGCCGAAGCGGTCCCCGAGCATGCTTTATAATGAAGGATGAAGTGAGGCCGTCAGGAGGGGACAGTCAGCCCCTTGACCCGGCCGGAGAGGGCCTCTCAGGGCCGGTGCCGAGGAAGCCGCCGCCCAGCTGTGGCGGGATGTGCGCTCACACAAACTTAAGTTCCACTTTTCCCTCCTGTGTAAAGAAGGATGCAAATATGTAGTAGATGACTGAGCTGTTCCCGTTAAAGTAAGGGACGGAGACCCCACGGCTTTACGTGCCGAGTGATAGGCGGAGCGCAGCCGGTGGAGGAGCTGCCGTGTCCCCGGCCCCCAGCCCAGCAGGCGCAGACTCGGAAGCTCCGTTTCCCCGGGGCGTCGGGGCAGCCGTGGGGAGAGTCCCAGTGCAGCTGCACACGAGGAGCCCTTCCACGGAACGCTGGGTGTGCCCAGCCCCACAGGCAGATCCGCAGCGCCCAGCCTCTCAGAACCCCCCAGCCGTCCCGACTGGTTCCTGGAGAACCTGCCCCCCTGTGACCAGGGTGTTTTTGCTGGACCGGACGGTTCGCCGTTGACACCGTAAATCAGTTAACCCACCACCGGCACCTCCGAGGCCTTGACGGGCACTCGGTTATTATGTTTATAATGAACACCTCCACACTGTCCTGCGGCCCCTCGCGGTGGAGGGTGCCGGCTGTTGGTGACAGCGTGTCCCCGCAGCCGTTGTGTTCCACTCGGCGTCACACAGACTGTGGGTCGCACGGGGTTTCCGACTGTGTCCTGCTGTTCTCTGAGTGTTTCGGAAGTCCAGAGAATACCAGTGATCAGTAAGTGTCGCAAAGGGTGGCGAGAAAAAACAACGACAAAACACAGTGAAACAGGAAACTGGTTATTTTGATGCATTAAAGGTCCCCTCCGCCCCCCATTTCTTTTTTTACCATAGCAAGATGAATTTTGTTTCTTATTCCTCGAATCTGTGTTCAGCAAAGCTCTGTTTAAACAGTGTCCTAAACAGTGAGTGTGTTTTCTTTCACACACACACACTCTCTCAAAATATTAGTAAATAAATAGAAACACAGTTGTATTTCCCTTATTATGTTAGTTGGGGTCAGAGTTGATGTCCCTTCAGGAAGTAGCAGTGCCAAAAAAAAAAAAAAGAAAAGAAAAGAAAAAGGAACAGGAAAAAATGATGAAGGACATGCATCATGGAAGTAAGATCAGGAAGTGAAAACAAGAACCGAATCGGAAGTTTGGGGAAATAATTTCTTTTAAAACAATTTCAAAACCGAAGGTACACGGTTTACTGGATCCATGAGTAAAATGATTCAGTCCTTGCTACTGTTTTGTTTATTCTACTTTTTAACCTTAAGACTATCGTGCCAAAGTTAGGAAAAGTACCCCGGGAAGGTAATAACTCTGTGATTTTAATGTGTCTTTTCATTGATCCTGTTTGCAGCTTTCAGGTCCGGATTTGAATAATTTGTTCCTATTACCAAAATGTATACATTTTGTGCAAACACTTCTCAGCTGATTTTGTTTCTAAGTAACTAAACAGGATAAAATATTTCTTGTTGTAAATGGGTGACACTCGTAAGAAAATTTTGTTGCACTGACCATCTTTAAAGATTGGCATGCCTCTTGAGCATTATTAACCATGATTTTATCTTTACCCCAGAAAGTATGTTGTCAATTTGCAATCTACAGAGGGTCATTTTATTGTCTTAAATTGAGATTTTTTTTCCCAGTTTGAGCAAAGGACTTCTAAATCTAAAATATGGACCTGTTTGCCCCGTGGTTTAGAATGAACCGTACGGGAAAATGCCATCAAAGTTGCTCAAGTGATTTCGAGAACCCTCACCGACTGTTCTTCCTTTTGTTCATGTTCTCTTGCTCTCTCGCTGGCTATTGGCAGACTCAGTCTTTCTGTGTTCACAAAGAACTCACGAAGAGGACGATAGGGAAACCCACGTATGCTTTTGAAGCTAGGGACTATGTTGTAAGTTCACCTGTGACGGCCGGGTCGCAAGTCACGGCACAGGCACTAACCCCAGTGACACCGCCAAGACTGGGGACCCCGGGGGCACTCGCTAATGCTTCCACCGAGACATGACATTCTCGATTGAGAGACCCGGACATGGGGGTTGGGGGGGAAAGCCTGATTGTGTAAATTCCACCCCAGGCTACTCCTTCCGGGAAACCTGCATGGGAAAAGGAACCAAACTTCCCAATAATGATCAGACTTCCTAAAAATGTCGGTGAGCGGAGCTTGGTTTGATGCCCTCCTCACGGATGGCGGCTGCCGTCTGAGATGTCATCGGGGTGGCTTTTACGGCAGAGCCTCCCCTCCCAAAACACAGGGCGTGGTCACAGGAGGATGGCACTTGTGCGGCACAGTCACCCGTGTCCACGCCTGTGACAGCTGACCCCTACGGGGGTCACGCCAGACAAAATCTGTGGAGCATGAGCAAGGTCATAGAGGAGGGACATGGTGTCCCGTGGACCTTACACACAGTGCTTAGCCGCTTATTGTCACTGTCCCCTTTCTGTGAACTTGAGGTTAGTACCTGTGACTGCCCCATAACACACGGACGCGCCAGCTCTGTGTTCCCGCCTGTGCTGTTGACACTCGTGGCTCCCCAGGCTCCGTAACTGTCACCCGACACTGACAGCCTTTCAGTTCTCCGGGTGCCTCGCCACGCCCCGTACGCGGCCTTTAAAAATGCCCTCTTAACAGACGATTCGGTTTTTTAATTCTAAGTGATCTAACCGGCTGACTTACAGCGTAAAACCGAGAACCCGGCTACGGCGGGGAAGCGGGATGCGTCCCACGACTCGGTGTTTCCCATTCCTGTGGGGAGCGATTCTCAGCCCTAACACCTTACTATTGTAACGAAGCGCTAACCTTCCTAGGCTATTCGTTCTGATGATCGGGTTCCCGCGGTGTGGAACGCCTAAGAGTACGTAACCTGAAATAACAGGAGCCCCATAGAGAGCAGACAGTGTGTGCCAAGTTCAAATCTCAGTTCTCGGCGTCGGCAATGTTTAGCTGTGGCGTGTGAGAAAACATTTGTCTGTGGCCGTGTGCTTGGTCGGGAAGGTGTTTGCAAAGCCGTCTGCTGTGCCCCGTAAGTGTCGTCTGGGAGGAGCTCCGGTGGCAGTGACCGGACCGACCTGTGCCAAGTTCCCAGGGGGGGCGCGGGGAGCGGCGGCTGCCCGCAGCACAGCCCGCGTGGGGCTGTCTGCACCTTTCCCCTCAAAAGCTTCATCCCGCAGCTCTTTCCCTTAAAATCTTCTCTTTCTTCAGGCGGACAATTTCTCCCAAAGCTCACTGCCTGTTTACAAAGAAGTGTCAACTCTGAGTCAATGCTAATAATAAGACTTCCTAAATCTGGTTAGGGAGTTTTGAACACCCTCCCTCCTCCTAATTTAACATGAAAGGGCACTTTCTGCAATACTTGGTCTCCGACGTATTTTTGGATCCTGCTCTCAGGATCCACCCTTGGCCTGAACTTTGAGGACTGTTAACAGCTAAGCACCAAGTGTGCGCACGGAGCTCTCAGAACACTGCCCGACAGCCACAGACGGGTCTTACCTGTTCGTGAACACACAGGCGTCTCTTTTCCTAACTTGGAGACGCCATTTAACCCGTTTGGGGTCCGGGAATCCCTACACCTTTGCTAGCCTTAAGGTCCAACTGCAGGTGGTCGCCGCGGAAGCCACGGCAAGGCGGAGCCCTTGGCTCTTGAGCCAGGTGGCTCTCTCGTTCCCAGAGCCGGCTCTCCGGAGCAGCTGCTCCCACTGAGCTCCCCAAACGCCACGTCGCCCCTGTGGCGGGGGCTCGCAGTCTCTGGAAAGCCTCTGTCACCCTGCCAGGTGGCCATTCCTCCTGGCGTGCCTGTGCTCTGGTGGGTGACAGCCTCGTCCCTCCGCCTCTGGCCTGGCCCCCGGGGGCCTCCTGGCTCCCAGAGGCCACGTCTCAGAGCAGCTTCCAGCCCTTGGTTCCCTGTCCACCAGCCTGAGAGTTTGCCCAGGCGCCTGTGAGAGAGCCAGTGTCCATCTGTATTGCATTTCCTTGACAGCAACACATAACCTGTGCGTTGTGGAAGTAACTGGGTTTCAGGCTCTCGCAGTCTGTAGCCGGTTTGGTGGACACAAGACCGGGCGGTTATTTTTGTCTTTTCTGACCGTTTCCCGTCCCTGACGACAACACTTACTCCGGTTTCCATGCCGGCTGATGGGGACCCCACGGCACCGTCAACCGAAACCCTGCTTCCCCCCCCCCCCCCGCCCTTTGCTCTGGCAGCCTGGCAGCGAGGGGAAGGTTTGGCGGGGACCGGCCCCTCGTGGGAACTTTGCACAGATCCGCTCCGAGTCATTTCCACGAGGGAACAGATGAATGTGTGTGACGACGCGGGGGAGCCGGCCGAGGTCCTCTTCTGACGTGTTGTTTCTCTCTCTCTCTCTCTCCCCACCCCCGTTCCCCCTTCCGTTTGCACGTGAAGCTTTCTCTCAAGCTGGTAAGCACAGCCACCCCTGCATGCCCCAAGTCCGGCCGGGCCTGCTGCTGCGCGGCCTGTGGGTGCTCTGCCCGCGCAGCCCGTCCGCAGAGCCCGCTGGTGACTCGTGTTGCTCTCGTGTGTGTGTGTGCTCGTGTCTCTTTCCTGGTCACCCCTTTGGAACACCGAGGTTGAGGGGCTAATGGACCTTAATCCTTTCCAGTTGCTACGAAAATTAATGCTTAACTCATGATCTGGGTGTTGGGGTTGTTCTTTTCCCCTTTTTTTTTTTTTTCCACTATTGGGACCTTAAGAGGATGACACATGCTGGTGAGCTTTATTGAAACATGAACGTAAATATTAAGTAATGGGGAGTTTATTTATTGGATCATTTAGAATGAAAGTAAATTGAATCATGGTAAGACGCTCCTTCCCAGGAGCCACAGAGCTGAGGACATCCTCTGGGAGCCCAGGGGGCACAGCCGGGGTGACCCCGGTCTCAAACTCGGATCCAAGGCCGCCTGTGACAGCGGAAACCCTGGCGTCTCCCAGGTGCTACCTAAATGCATAAGCACCCTGTGCGTGGCTGACTCAAGAAGCCACAGGGGGGTTTGCAGCCCGTGGAAAGAGCACCCCGAGCCTTTCCATGCTGTTCGACGCGGCGTGCCGGGCTCTCGCCACCTAACCGTGTAGCCCTAGCAAATGAACTAATCGTTATGTGTCTTGAAAGAAAACTTTAACCCACATAACCCTAACTACGCTTCAGATATGCGTAAGCTACATGGTGTTTTCAAACCTCACGGCGGAGACTGTCCTGAAATCACAGGCAGTGAGTGGTACACGGTGACAGTTCAGCCAGGAACTCGATGAGAGGTTTGTGCCCCGCCGTTGACAACTCAGGGCGCCGGTCACGGTTATTCTCCTGGACACACGGGCGCGTGACTGTGTACACACCCAGTGTGTACAGGGTCTCTGCAGCCTGATGCCGGGTTTGGCCACCGGCCCAAACCTAGAGAAAGTGAATATTTTATTGAACTGACCGTTTCTTAGAGATAAAAATCTCGAGACGAATCCTTGGTCGGGGATAAGAAGGAGAAATCAAGACGTTTCAATTCTGGTATGAATCTGGGAGATGCTGGACCCGTTGATAGGGAATCTCTCAGACGCCAGGGGTTCCTTCTTGCCCTTTATCTGTCCTTCTGCTGGGGTGTTACCAGCAGAAGATAACGATATTGGGCAGTCTGTCTGATTTGAGAGACAAATCATTTTACCAGCCTGGCGTTGAATTGTTGCTGTGTACCATTACTCTGCAGCCGGTAAAGAAGTAAAGTGTCACGCACACACGGCTTAGGTGCAAAACCAGTAAATCCCAAAAGCCATTTGTTCTCGTGTTCCTCGGGGGGTGGGGGGAGAAGGGGGGTGTCCCTGGGGAGCACGTGTTCGATTCCAGATGCCATACAGCAAGGCCAGGGCCCCCTCATTCTCTGCACCCCGAGGTGCTCTGGGCATTTCGGGACATCCGTTCTGGCTCAAAGCTATACTTATAAATTCTTTCCTGGCAAAATGAATCCTAGGTCAGGGCATCGTTTAAAAAGGAATTCAGGCTTCGAAAAGCTCATTGGACAAAGTGACCCCTGCAGACGACATTTGCAGAAACCCTGAGTTTCTTTGGATCTAGAAGAAGCCGTGGACCCGAATCTCCACGCGCAACACGAAGTTGGTGGGAGGCACGGTTCCCGAGATCAGCTTTCAAAGAACCACGCAGAAACACGGAGGACCTAGGGAGAGGGACCTGGTTGGCCCGTTAGACTGACTCCTGACCCACTGCAAAGAATTCATTGATTTATTACTGAATTACTTTAGTTCTGCGAATGACCAGGCTCGCACTGTTGTTGCCTGGGGCACCTGTGAGGGAGTCGCAACTGACGTGTGTTTTACTCACACGGTTCATTGCAGCTGTTTGCACACCGGCTCGAATCGCACACCTGTCCCGCCCAGCCCCGAGCCCTTCAGTGTGGGAGCCACTCGCTACCACCGGTGGCCGTTTCCGCTTCAGCTGATTAGCACTCAGTCAGAATTTAAAACTCAGTTCCACCGTTGCCCCAGCCACTGTCCAAGTGCTCAGTAGCCACGGGTGGCCACTGGAGGGGGCAGGGCAGACAGGGGGCATTCCTGTCGCTGCAGAAAGAGTTCCTTTGGGCTCAGCACGTGGTAAGGCTCAGGGAGGGTCAGGGACCTCACACGCCGCGCCTGCTGCTCGGGCCCCGGCTTCTGCACTGGTGTGTCTCCCCCTGGGTTCGGTGGCATTCTGGCACCGAGGAGCAGCACCGAACAGAGCCCTCCGCGGCTCCGTAGGGCGGGCTGCCCTGCCCTGAGTCCGCACAAGAAGGAATGCTGGGCGTTCAGGCTCAGCGGTGGGATCGAGCGAATGGAAGAGCCTCTGACCCAGGTTTCGAGCATCCTAACACAGCAGTATATGGGAAAGATTTATTTTTACACTGGAGATTAGTTTGCTCCGTTTTCATTGTAGAGGTGAATCGGATTTCCTTGGTTTGGCATTAGGGAGCAGTCATTTCCTGTCTGGTTTTACTCCCATCTTACTTCTCTCTCTCTCTCACACACACACACACACACTCACACACTCACACTCACCCTCTCTCACACACACGCACACTTTGAGAGCATTAGCGGAAAGATCTTTCTTTGTGCAGCCCTGGCACTAAACTATTTGCTGAATCACACGCGGCCAGCCCAGCCGCCTGGCATTTTGTCAGGAGCAGCCCAGGCACTTGAGTCGCCGCTGCCCCCCCTCCCCCCCGGGGAAGCCACTTGGCAGCCTCAGCCTGATGGGGGGGTGACGTCCCGCAGGTCCCTTCCCTCCCACCCACTCCCCACGCCAGCCTCGCCTGCCCTTAGTTGGCTCCAGAGTCAAGTCTCTCGTCTAAAGAAAGGCCCTGGCTGATCTGTGGTTATCAAAGAAGCTCTTCTTTCTCTATGAAAGCTGCCTCATTGAAGTAAAAGCACTTGACCGCCACGTAGCTTCTGACAGGAGCACGCACGTGAGTCCGGAAGCTCACTGCTGGCGCGTTCCGCTCAAATCGCACGCACCGAGGAAAGATGGGAGTTGTTTCCCTTTCAAGGGAACCCAGATATCGAAATACACTTCTGACGGACCGGGAGCAGCTGAGCTTGATCCCGAGCCCGGTGGGAGGGCAGCCTCTGTGAATCTCCAAGATTACCCAGAAACGGCCAGAATGAAACGGCCAGAACTCGCAGCAGCGGCAGCAGGGCCGCCGGAGAGCGCATGGGATGGTGGGGGAGGATCTGTTTTTTAAATGTCCTTTTCACCCACATCCTCTGAGGAACTAGATGTCCCATCTGTCACTTCCCGGGGATGGGAACTTCTGGCCTCAGCCTGTGCAAAGAGACGGGAAGGAATACTCAGACCGGGGAGCGGGGTGGCGGTCGGGGGGCAGAGCAGAACCTGCCACGTGGAGCAGTGGGCGGGGTGGGGGTGGGGGCCACGCACCCCTGTTTCGTAGGAAGAAAACCTAAACTCAAAGCTTCCTTGAAACTGCAGTGCTGCCACCAACACTGGCGGTGAAGCGAAGGATCTGTCTCAAAATCGGTGTTCGGATCCTCCCGGGGTCAGGGGTATTCCTTCCTCTCTCCTCCCTGCAGCATCGCTCCTGCCTTTTGGGGGACGCCCCCGGGCAGCCTCAGTGCTACCCGAGCGGCCTTGGGGCTGGTTTGCATGCACTGGTTCCGCCTGCCTCTGGGCTGGTGTGTGGGAAAGGGCCTGCGGCCGCGCGCACCCCCTGGGGCCTGGGGCCTGGGGCCTCCGCCCTCCGCCCTGCAGGCCGGCCTCCCACTCCTCCCGCAAGGCTCCTTCCGGCTTATTTCTGTTTGCGTCTGCAGGGCTCCACGCCAGAGGACTTCAGCAACCTCCCACCTGAGCAGAGAAGGAAAAAGCTCCAACAGAAAGTCGATGAACTAAACAAAGACATTCAGAAGGAAGTGGATCAAAGGTAGAGTGGGCCATTAAGAAATTCAAGTTCAGCCCTGGCTGGTGTGTGTCGGTTGGTTGGGCGACATCCCGCAAACTGAAGGTTCACGGGTTCGATTCCCTGTGAAGGCGCATGCCTGGGTTGCAGGTTTGGTCCCCTGTTGGGGGCATGTGCAGGAGACAGCCAATCGATGTTTCTCTCCTTCTCTTTCTCCCTCCCTTCCCCACTCTGGAATCACTAAAAGAAAAAAAAATTTAAAGAAAGAAAGAAATGAAGAAATTCAAGTTCCGTTTGGAAAGAGGGGAGTCCTAGACTAGATTTTAACAGAAGCGCTTCTTTCCGCCACGGTCTGCTGGGTCACCTCATTACCGCCTGGGAGCGGGTTGACCAGCAGGCTTTATTCTGAGTTTGGGGAACAAAATATGTAGGATAACCTCTCCTATCATGAGTGTGTCGGTTGGTTTTCTTGTGCAAACGAGGAAGAGAAGAGAGGCCGGGCTCCCACCCGCTCCCTGGCCCCCACATCCCAGCTCTGGGTCCACAACGAGCTTGTCCCTCTGGTCCAGGGTGAGTGACAACGGGCCAAGGCCCGCAGGCGCTCACACCGTCCCGTCCTCCGTGAACAGGACTCCAGAGGACGAGTCACAGCACGTCTCACACACACACAGGCCCTGCCCTTAGGGGTGCCGGGGGTCCTGGCTGCTCCCGGCTCCCACCGGAGGGCGCCCCATTTTCTGAGCTGCTATGTGAGTCTGCTCCTAGGGGTGGTGGATGAGTGCCCGGGGGCGGGGAAGAGGTGCGGAAAGATGTGCTCTCTTTTCATTGGCACCTCCCTCCCTGCATGTGTAAGCTGCGCCTCTTGCACATCGCCTAGGGGGTGTGTGTTCGTGATCCGGACTGGAAACCCCTTTGTTAATTGTCTCTGGCCTTAAGTTACACGTTCTCACTGAGCGAGTCGGGGGAGTCATGCCTCTCCCGGAGACTTGAACTTGAGGTTTCGTGCCCCACGCACAGGCCACACGCCGGCCCTGCAGGAGCCGAGCTCCCTTGGAAGCCGGGTTCAACCTCGGCGATGCCAGAAGCAAACAAAAGGGAAGGCAGTGCCATTCAGTGCGCGCAAAGCAGGCGGCTTTCTCTTCTCTTCCTCTGTGACAGCGGCTCCTGAAAGATGGGGAAAACGGGTCGTTTTGTCACTTTACAAACACGGTTCCAGTGCATAAGAAACGGCACACATATAATTAACTTTGTTCTCGTTTTGTATTAGAATATACTTCAGGAAATGCCCATTTTCTCTTTGTGCTTTTTAATAAATGTAGAACTAAGCACAAGAGCGTGTATAAATATATAAACCAAGTAAACCTCTTGCTGTTTGCTAAGGGGCCAGCGGTAGTTGGCACACAGGAGCGGGAAGTTAGGACTCTGGGACCTGCGGTGACATTTTATAGGGTGTTGACAGACGCACTGTCCAACACGGCGGAGAGAAATCTGCCTGCCGCTTGGGTCCCGGCCGTGGGACCCGGTTAACCTTCAACCCCACAGTGGCACAGAACAGGAGACGTGCTGTCTGAGGAAGGAGACGGAGCCACGTAAGGGAGCTGGGACTGCAGGGGGCCAAAGGCTCTCGTGGGAAGGTGGCCTTGGGCGGGGGGCTGGGGGGCGCCGGCAGTTCTGTGAAGCCCCCGGGGGCCGGCAGGGCGTCCGGGCTGCCATGCGGGGAAGCGGGTAGAGAGGTGTCGAGGACCCGTGGAAATCCTCTTCCTGCCAGTGCTCTGTTTTCAGTTAGACTCTTTCCCACGGCTCAAAATAGGGTTTGGTGTGTGGTCTCGCGCTGCACCACTGGCTTCGCTTTTCTTGCCCAAACTCGTTAAAACTGGCAGAATCCTTTGCTCTAGACTTTTAACAGATCACGCCCTACCGAAAGCCCCTTGCAGCCAGAGCTCCCGTTGGCAGAGTTCTGCGGTGCTGGCGGGATCCGAGCAAGCCCTCCCTGCTCCCCTGGGGCTCCCTCGCTCAGGCCCCGGGGGTGCGGGGCGGGGAGCAGGGTGGGGGGGCCCCCCAGGCACAAGTTCAGAAGGGGCGTGGGGTCCCAAGTATGCAGCTTGGAAGCTCTGTTGCCCGCCCGTCACGGGCACCCACTGTGGGGTCCATTTCGTAGCAGCTGACATAGCGGGTCCCACCGTAAAACTATCAAAGCCACTAGCCATGTTTCTTCATGACATGGACAGGTCGCAGCCCACAGAGACCCACGACGCCAGCTGTAGTTTCGGTTTGTGTGAAGCATGTGCACGTGGAACGTGTTTGCATTTTGTTTGTTTTTGTTGTTCGGGGCGAAGGGAGGGGCAGGGTCGATTCGTGCTTCCTCCTGGCCGAAGGCGAGGGGGAGACCCCATTCCGAAAAGGCGATCGAAGGTTCCCTCGCGGTCTCCGGACCACACGGGCCTTGGGGGGGGCAGGGTCCCTAGAGGGAAGTTCCGGAGGGGGCGCTGACCCCGACATCCCCGTGCGGGCCACACTCAGACACGGTCCTCCCACTCACACGCTTCCCGGGGCGACTGCGGACTCTACGTGGCTGGCGACAGCGACCTTCCCACACCTGGCTCACGCTTCCTTCTTTTCTTTTTGTTTTTTGTTTTTTTTTTCCAGAGATGCTATAACGAAAATGAAAGACGTTTACCTAAAGAACCCTCAGATGGGAGACCCGGCCAGTCTGGACCACAAATTAGCAGAAGTCAACCAAAATATAGAGAAGCTGCGTCTGGAGGCCCAGAAATTTGAGGTAGGGGGGAGCTGGCTCGGGGGACGGGCCCTTCCTTCCCGGGGACGGAGGCCACTGGGGACGCCCGGGTGTCGCCCCTGAGTGTCCGTGCCTGGGCACATCCTGTTTTAACGGTGTCCTTTCAGACGGGCGCTGTTGGAAGTGGCCTTTATGTGGCTCCAGTGTTGCTTTTTAATGTAAGCGTCTGACTTTAGCTTGTCTCGTGTGGACAGAGTGTGACTGGGGCCGTCAGAGAACCAGGGGGCAGTTATGTTGAGATGCGCCGAGTTCTCTCGGCGGGCCGGCAGAGGCTCCAGGCGCCGAAGCCAGCGGGAAATAGGATGCGTAGGAAGCCCCGCCAGCAGCGCCTTCATACGTGTTTGCAGGGGCGGGGCACTCAGAAGCTGGGGCAAGAGGCTTCTCCCCCCACCCCCCACCACATTAAAAGACTACAGAGCATGGGAAAATAAATAACAAATGATCGTTCCAATCAGCATAGGTTATTTCTTTTTCTTTTTCTTTCTTTCTTTCTTTCTTTATTTTTAGAGAGGGAAGGAAGAGAGAGAGAGGGAGGGAGGGAGAGAAACATCCATGTGCGGTTGCTGGGGGTCATGGCCTGCAACCCAGGCATGCGCCCCGACTGGGAATCGAACCTGCGATGCCTGGTTCACAGCCCACGCTCGATCCACTGAGCTACGCCAGCCAGGGCAGCATAGCTTATTTCTATCAATGAAGGGCAAATAGGGCTTTTTCATTGTGTCTGGACTCTGTCAATAAGTACTAAATGTTTGAGTTTTCGGAGCCTAGAAATGTCCTTTTCCGATCATTTGCCATCTTTTGCCTTTTGAGCAGTGTGACTGTTCAAGCTGAGCAGTGCAGCTAGTTCAAATGTTACTGAAGGTAATTTTATCCACTTCGATGTCCTCTGTACAAGTTTCTTCACTATTAAAAAAGAAAAAGCTGCCGTCCCTAAAAGAAAGGAATAGAAAAGGGAAGTGTGGCTTTCACACTGAGTCACCGCTCAAGGGTGGCAGTGCCCCCACGTTTCCTGGTGTGACCTCATGGTCACAGCACTGCGGGAACCCCAGAAGGAACTAAAAGTGATTTATCCAAAATCACACAGCCGTTCAATGCCCAAGAGGTCAAGGCGCCCTGTGTCTCGCCTGCCCCCTGTGGGCAGGTGCTGAAATACATCCGCCTCTTCAGCTCTGGACCGGGTGGAAGCAGCTGGCCGCCATTGAGTCCGCTTATAAAATGCAAAAACCGGGGACCCGCCCCCTTGTGGTCCTTCTGTGTCCGAGTCCATGATCAAGAGCAGCCCCAACTGGCGGCTCCAGACTCCAGGGTGGCGCCCCCAGCTGAGCTCAGGCCCGGGCCCCCCGGGGCTTCTGTTTCCAGGCCTGGCTGGCGGAGGTGGAAGGCAGGCTCCCGGCCCGTGGCGAGCAGGCCCGCAGGCAGAGCGGGCTGTACGACGCCCAGAGCGCCCCGGCCGTCAACAACTGCGCGCAGGCCCGGGAGAGGTACCGTATGGATGCAGCCTTGCCCGCTCTCTGGCCGGCGGGCCGCGCCGCTTTTGCTTCTCAGTTCTGGGGTCTGCAGACGAGCGTGAGGCGTGTGTCGGGCACTCACGTGTCTGTGACGGCGGGCACGTGATTCCCCCTCACGGGGCGGTGTCTGACACCACGCGGGAGGCAGGAGGACTGGAGCCCATCTTAGTTCCCGGCGCTTGGCTCTGGGGGGCGGGGCAGGGCGGGGCGGGGCCGGCGTCCTCGCGGGTCGGTTGCTATAGTTGCTGCGCGGTTTGCTTTCTTGAGCAGCCCGGATGGCAGTTACACGGAGGAGCAGAGTCAGGAGAGCGAGGTGAAGGTGCCTGCCATGGACTTCGACGACGAGTTCGACGACGAGGAGCCCCTGCCAGCCATCGGGACGTGCAAAGCCCTCTACACGTTCGATGGTAACGCCCCGCCGCTGCGTCACCCGCCTCTCCCGGCCCGGCTGGGCCCGGCCACCTGCGCTTTCAGCGACCCGACTCCTGTCTTATGAAACCTTCCACATCTTTCTCTTGTGTCTCTTGTTCTGCTGATAGTATTTATTACTATTATTACTGTGTTGATGGCTGTATATTTTGCCTTTTGCCATGTAACTGAGCAGCTTTCAGTGAGCTCGGTCGCAGCAGGTAGCAGGGAACAATGATTATTCCGTGCGTGCCTTCTGTATTTATGAACCGGCCCTGAAAAGACTCTCCAAGGGCTGGGATGCAGGTGGCACGGAGGGGGCGGTGTCCCTCTCGGGGAAACAAAGCGGGCGCGCACCTGGGAGAGGCAGCTTCCGGGGGGGGGGGCGGGCACGCATGGGGGGCGGGGTCACGGCAGGACGGTGGCGCCTCCTGTAAGGGAATTTGGAGACCTCAGCGCTGCAGCAGATCGGGGCGGGGCAGGCCCGGGACCCGCCCGGAAACCTCACCGGCTCTGATGCTGCCGTTCCAGGTCAGAACGAAGGAACCATTTCCGTGGTGGAAGGAGAGACGCTGTACGTCATCGAGGAGGACAAAGGGGACGGGTGGACCCGCATCCGGCGGAGCGAAGACGAAGAGGGCTATGTCCCCACTTCCTACGTCGAAGTCTATTTGGACAAAAATGCCAAAGGTGCTAAGACTTATATTTAATACAACTTAAAAAAAAAAAACTTTAAAAAAACCACTGGAGGCGTTTCTCCCCACAGCGGTGGCGGTGCGGGCGGCGCTCCGAGAGACCGGACGCGGGGCGCACCGGCGACCCCCCTCCCCGCGCGGACGGAGGGGGTCTCCCGCCGCACGCCCCGGTCTGGTTTTGACTATGATTACCAAGTCTCGCTCGCTGGTGAAATTTTATGTGGAAAGCTGCCAACGGCCAATTCACAACTGTGTCGTTTGAAATCCGATCCGCGTTTCTCCTCTGGCAGCATCTGTAGGTAACAGCAGCGCGGCCTTGTGGCGTCTGATCTGTGTTTCCGAGTGGCAAAGTCCACGCACATCCCCCCGCCCCCCACCCCCGTGCCGAAGACTTCGGCTCTCTTATTTACCGCCCGCGTCTGCCGCAGATGGAACGACCCTAGGAGGTTCCACTCCGTAACTGAGTCCATTGAGTGAGCCGCGGTAGTGGGCTGAATTTTACCATCGTCCGCTTTGGAGGAAGTCCTAAATAAAAGCTCCCCCTTCTCGAGTCAAGAAGCGAGTAAGATTCTTTTATTGGTACCGAGCATGCGTATTTCTGCCTGCCCCAGGTCAAGGTCATGTTTAGAGCCTGATGACCCTGTTACGCCTACTTGACCCCAAACCACCACTTGAAATCTGGGAGAGTGTGGTCAGCCACCCACTTGGTGTTCCCACAGGACGAGAGGTCTCCCCGAGGACAGCTCACAGAGTTGGGCCGATTTGCGGGTGCTGTTTGGGCAGACCTCAGCAGAAACGGCACACTTAGCTCACTCTGTCCTGGCGGGGATTTTGTGGCAAGTTCGGCTGAGCCTGCCGGCAGGGCTGTGAGAACAGTGAGCAGGGTCTGTGGGGGGACACAGACCCGGACCCCAGCCCCTTGCTTTGCAAAGGGGGATTTAAAAAAAGCATTGCATCGCTAAGCCTCCAAGTGTGAATGGACTGCAAAAATCGTTTTAGAATTGCTAGCTGGTTTCATAGGATTAACTGCAGCCAGAACAAAACACGATGTTTCACCATCTTTAAAGGAAACTGGGTCACATGGGGATTTGCATTTGGGAGTCGGCGGGGCAGGGAGTGAAACTGTCGGCTGCACAGACCGGTACCCAGCCCAGCATCCGTGTCCGTGCCTGCTGGGAGAATCCGCCCTGAGATCATGCAGAGCAGCTATAAAGGGGTCAGGATGAAGGCGTCGGGTTGAGGTTCTCTTTTTATTTCGCTTTGAAAATTACTCGTGTCCTTCGTCCCCTCTAATGGGAAATTGGCCGCCGGTCTCCACGCTGCGGGCTCCTGTTACAAGCTCAAGTCAGCACGGAGCTGATTGTTCCGGTGGCGGCCGCGCAGCCTGGGGACTAGGGCCCGGCGGGGGGTACGGCGCTTGTCACCGATTCCAGCAGCAAGTTCGCTGCCATGGCTCACAGGGGCCACCCAGGGGGAACTTTGTGACCTTTAGGGAATGACAGCCTGATTTTAAATAACGACAGAGTCTCAGCCACTTGAGAGTTAGAGCTGAGAGACCGGGGTCCCCTCCCCCAGATGTTCCCCATCACATCCGACGCAGATGGAATGCAGCACCAAAGGCAGGAGGTCAGCCCGGTTTTTCAAAATTCGCAACTCAAAAGTTCTTCGGAATTATTACACTTCTGCTGACATAATATTAATAAGGCCACTCAGCCTGCGCCAGACCTCTCTTTTTTAAGTCTGGGGGCCGGAAAACTGGCTGACCCTGCCCCCTCCGGGCCCGAGTCAGGGAGCAGCAGGAGGTCACGGCCTGGGGCCCGTCACCCACAATGTGAATGAAGAGCTAGCCTTTCTAGCCCCCCCGTGGTGAGCTCATTTCCAGACAAGGAGCCCCCGGAGGGAGCCAGCTCAACGCTGAAGCAGTCTTACAGGGGGCGGGCCACGTCAGCCTTGAAAAGCATGCCTTGAAAAGCACAGCATTCTGTGGTTTTTTGTTTCTTTTTTCTTTTCTTTTCTTTTTTTTTTTTTTGGTGCTGTGCGAAACTGGTTCCAAAAAGTAGCTTCATCGGTTTCCTGGCCGGGGTGGGTGCCTGAATCCTGATTACAAAGTTGCCCCTCAGTACCTGGAGCCCATGAATGGATGTGAACTTGACGGAATGGTGCTCGTTTATAGTGTCGGTTCACTGAAACCATCCCCAAAGGATCAGGAACTTCCCTTGCCTGCCAGAGTACGCTCTGTCTGTCTTCCCCGGTCATCTGTTCAAATAAAAGCGGCGAAGTCTCAGCCTGGTGTAGAAACCGTTCTTATATTTAGGGACCCATGTCTGGGTCACTAGTGTGCATGTAGAAGCCTTTTCCCTCCCACGTGCATAGATCTGCTCAGCCTCCCCCGCACCCCACACACACACACAGTGCCTACCTGACACCTGCCCTGGTCGCCCCGGTCACCCCGGTCACCCCGGTTACCCACGGGCCGGGCGGCTCCTTCTGTTTTCAGTCGCTCCTGTGCCCTTGTGCGTGTGTGGCGTCTATGATGTGACTCTTTAATAAAAATGGCCCAAGTGTCGAGACGGCAGTGATTCCCAGTCGGTCCGCTGGGTTGTGACTGTCTTCTCTTCCGGTTTTGTTTTGTTTTGTTTTTGAAATTGCTTTCTGTTCAATATGTCCGCAAGCCCTCCCCCCAATGTATCTATCTGTATGTACTGCCATTGAAAAACGGAAAGGATTACTTGAATGCGTTTGTTTTAACGTTTTACTCTCTTATCTGTTTGTTTTATTGGTGACTCTGCCGCCTAATGACCCTTTTGTTTGTGTAACGCTGGGGAGGCCGGAAGGACCGTGTCTCTCGGGTCCCTAGGGCCCTGCCGGCTGCTCCACACTTGAGTTTATTGTAGACCCGGGGGTTCTGAGTAAGTGCTGTTTGAACACGGCCCACATGACTGTCCCTCTCTCTTCTCCCCCCCGAAAGAAAAGACTCTGTCTGGCACCTCCTAGTTGTACCCTCGTGTCCGCCTCTCTAATAAACGGTCTCCTTTCCTCTCGGTGTCGTTCAGTGATTTTTCACCTTTCTGAGAAAATGACTCTGTATGGCAAATCTTTAACTCCTTCGTCTTCCGTAATGGGGGTTTTCTAGCCAAACGCTTTTTAAAAACCCTGCCCTTTCCCTCCCGACCTGATGACACCTTCTGCTTCTAAGCTGTGTGCGCACCCGAGGGCTTCAGGAGTCTGTCTCTCTGGTTTCGCCCCTCCCCACCCCCGCCCCACCCCCAAGATGAAGAACTTTCACGGTTTTATAGCAAGGAGACACTGGGCCACAAGCCTTCCTTTTCGCTGAAGGCGGTGGTGCACTTGACCGCTAAAGAACCCGGCGCCCGAGAGAGAACCGGCCTTCCTGCGCCTGGCTTCCTTCTGGGAAGCCGGTCGCCTCTCTGCCTCTCAGCCTCTCAGACCTGGACTCAGAAAGAGGAGCTGGGGCGGGGGCGCACTGTCTCCTAGGTGGGCTCCTCTGAAGGGAGGACGGGACACCAAACCGTGAAAGTTCCTTATCTATGGTGTCTTGTGGTAACCAGCTGGGCTCAAGTTGCCCCCTGCCCGCCCCCTGTCCCGGGCGGGCCAGTCTGCGCGGAGCCGCAGAAGCTGCCCGCCCCGACCCGGGCCGTCCTCTCTGACTGGGGTTTTCTTTCTTTTTGTGTCGTAGATTCCTAGAGGCGTGCGAGCCGGAGCCCCCGGAGCCTTCCCTGGAGAAACCCTTCGGTCCGCTGGTCTCCGCAGGCCTGGTGCGGACACACCGCTCTCGGGCCGGGCTGGGCCGGAGCGCGGCCCTGGTCGCCTTGGCCCGAAGTGACATCCCCGGCTGCTTGCCTTTTCATTCTTTTCTTTTCCCAGCATGCTCCATGTGGCTCAGCTCCTCCCCCCCGCCCCGGGCCGTGGTCCGGCCACCTCCCGGGGCGGGGGGGGAAGGTCTGCCCCCATCCCGGTCCTCACCCCGCGCAGGACCGTGGAAGGTGGGTAGACACGGGCTCCCCCAGCTCCTGCCACAGCCCTCAGTCCTCCTGGCCTGGCCCGGCCCGCCCACGGTTCACACTGTGCCTTTTGTGAAAACTTTGCCACTGGCGGTGCACTTGACCACCAGTCTCCTGGGGAGACGGACGGAGTCAGGTCGGGAGCGCCCCAGGTGGACTGAGCACCTGAGTGTCACTGATGTGGTCCCGCGTCACTCGCTCTGGAAAACACTCGTCTTTCCCCCGGTCCATCGAGCGTTCAGTGGGCCTTTTCCGGTGGCAGGTCCTCGCCTCTTACTCTGTCACAGCCTGTGAGTGTCCGTGGTGGGCAGCTGAGCACACGCACACACATGCAGGTACACGTGTGCACACGCACACCTGTGTATGCATACATGTTCACTGGGGGCCCTGCCCGCTGGGTCTCGCCTGGGCCCAGCTCTCACGGGGCCGAGGACCGAGTCCCCAGGAGCCGCAGAGCCTGGCGAGCGAAGGTCCCCCCGCACGTTAGCTCCTCGCCAAGGGAAAAGCCCCCTCTCTCATGAACCCCACAGTTGGCATCTTAGGGTTTTAGCGCTTCCATCACCAAAGACCCTGTGCTTCTCGCAGTCCTTCTAGGGACCCCGTGGCTCCCGCTTCTGCGTTTGTCGTGTGCTCTCCCGGCCGCGTGGGATTCACTGAGCTTGCTTTCTGAGCCTCGGGCCCCCCTGCTCCCGGATCCCGGAGGGTCCGGAGGAAAACTGCGGTCGGTCACGTAGCCTGTCTCCACTCATGCCTCCGAGTGGTGCGGCGGCTCTGGTCTGGTGCGGAGACCATCGGAGAGGCCGTTGCCCAAGGGTAACATCAGGCAAGGCCTCTTCCTACTTTTGTTTGGCTGTTGGTAGCCGGGTGGCCCCCTCGGGCATTCTCGGTTCTCCTTGATGTTGATGAAGCTAAGACGTGGGAGCCCGAGGGGCAGGGGCAGGGACGGCAGGTCCTGAGGTTCGGGCCTCTGTCAGGTGGCAGGGAGATGGCTCCTCTCAGCTCACCAGGGCTGACCGCCCACCCCCCAGCAGCTCAGCCCACCCTCGGTGACCACAGCCAGGAGCAAGCAGACGCCTGGGGCATGCGGGCGAAGAGGAAGTGACTTCAGGTTTAGGGCGAGCGAGGGACCCACCTGGGCCCTCTTGCTCCTGCTTCCCGGGAGGTGGGGCCAGACCCAGGGGTGCGGACCGCCTGCCCCGAGCCTTGCAGCTGGGGGGTCTCAGGGCTGCAGTCCTTGAAGCAGCTTCTGCTCCCCACAACGGGCCGCACTTTGTAGCAAGAATCAGTCTCAGGTGGGGACAGGTGTGGCAAAGGGGACACTGAAGCCAGGATGCCAAAGGTGAGAAGAGCCAGGGCCTCACCTGCATCCCTGCAAGCCAACAGGTGCATGGTTAATTCGGGCAGGCAGTCCCAGCGGCCCCGCCGGGGGCTCCTCTGTCGGCGGGGTGACGAGGTCTCCCCGGGACCTGCTGAAGTTCCCCAGGCCCAGCCTGCCAACTCTCCACGCCACCAGGATGTGAACGGTTTTTGGAACCTGACCTTGGAGCTCAGTGACGCATGGGCATTGCATCTCCCAGTGGGTCAGGACACATGGATTCCTCGAGACACGGGGGAGAAAGCACGAGCTGCGGGGATCTGTCCTTCGAACGTCTGCACAACCCAGTGTCCGCCCGTGTCCTCTCGTGTCCCCGCGCCCTGTTTTTCCTTCTCTGCCACCTGCGTCCGAGAAAGAATGGACAATGAGCGCTTTTCAACGTTGACCTTGGAGTTTGCTTCTCTGCCGATCCAGGTGGCCGCGTGGACGGGCGGTGCTGCGCCAGCTGGGCTTACTAAAGGAAACGCTTATTCCACGACCTTGAGATCCCGTATATCCTTCCCTCTGGGACCCCGGCGACACCACCTGCTGTCCGGGGAGCGGTTCGCGTAGAGTAGAAACTCGGAATTCCCCACGTGCCCCTCAGCCACCCCGGAGCCCGCTGCCTGTCATTTCTCCGCCCACGCTAGGATGCCGTCATGTTGTAAGAACCATGAATGTGTGTCGAGAACCTGCCCCCCAAAAAGGACTCGAAGCGGAAGAGGGGGACGTGTCGCTGCCCCGTGTCTCCTCTGCAGGGCGGGACTCCGTGCCACGGCGGGGATCGCCGGAAGGGGGCTTTGCTTCATGGGGTTCCTTCTTGCAGCTTCCAAGCTCTGAGCCTCCGGCAACGTAAGCCCGCAGCTTGTCCCGCCAGCGAGCACGCAAGGGCCTCTGGGTAGTGCCTGCGGAAGAACGTTCGCTGGACAAGAAAGGTGTGCGCGGAGCCCAGCGCTTCCCCAGAAAGTTTAGTTTCGGACTCCTCAACGGCCCTGCCTCCGGCGCTCCTGCCGTCACAAAGCCTCTCTAAAAAGCGATCCGAGGGCCCGCCGTAACCTGCTTGTGGTTTCCCTGTGTGTGCTGCACTAATTCTAAACCGCAGTGGGGGCACTTCCCTGCTGTGGTGGCCACACCACGTGGCCGCTGTCCCGGTTCTGGAGTTGCCTGTTTGTCTCCGGAGATAGAATTAAACCAAATACCGTGTTCCATGGGAAGGCTTCTGTTGACCCTGTAACTGTATGTTAATCCTCTAAGTGTTCAATAAAAGCCTGACTTCTGGCTCCGTGTCACGGGAGTGCCGTGTTGCGCGTCACAGCGGCGGGCGGAGTGCCTGCGGCTGGGGCCGGGCTCCCGTCCACACCTGAGTCACTGGGAAACCCAGCGCTAGTCATGTCACGTCCTCCCCAGTCTTCATGGGGAGGGGCTTGGGCCCCCCCCACTGGGGAGGAAGGGCTGACACCTGGGTGAGGTGAGGAGGGTTCGGGCGGACTCAGCCCAGGGAACTGAGCACCGGGAAGGTCTCCTTTGCATGCACACTCAGCGGGCAGCTACTCCTGGTTTTCGGGGACCCTGTTGGCGTGTGTGTGGGGCGAGCTCTTCATTGGTGTCTGGGCTGCAGGTGGTGTGCGGCTGAAGTGTGGGGGCCTCGCGGCACCCCCGGGTGTGCGCACTGGGAGGCCCTTCCCGCAGCCAGCCTGGAACATGTATGTCAGCTGGGCCTTTGGGGGACGTGCGCCTGGATTGCGTCTGCACCCCTTTGTTCCCTCCCGGTCTTTGCAGCACCTGTGTGCTGCACCGGCACCACTGCAGAGCTCTTGCTGACGCTGGGAGCCACCTCACTGCCTGAGGGCGGAGGGGAGGCCAGCCCTCACGGTGTGGTGTGCCCTTGGCCTCCTCCCACACAGGGCTGTGACCGCCTTTGCAGCTGCAGCTGCGCCTGCTGCCCTGCTGGCCCGGATGGGCTCGGGGAGCCCACGCCTCCCACCCGCCCAGCAGTGGTGCTTCCCCGTGAGAGACGGTAAAGGGAACCAGGCGGCTTGCTTATCCTGAGGCCTCTCGCCTGTCTTGTCCCCGAAAAGGTTAACCTCGGAAGAATGTTCCAGCGTGTTCTTTCTGGGCTTCGTCGGTCTGTGCCCGAGATGAAAGGTGTCCCCCGATTTCACCCAGAGCCTGCCTTCCCCAAGGGCCCCACGGGGGGGCTGGGGGGCGCATGGGGCGTGCTGCTTGGGGGCGCGCGGCACCCCCACTCTGGGCCGCAGCTCCTGGGGGGAGGGGGGAGGACCCGGTGGCCTGGGGCGCTGCTGTGGGAAGTGAGACTGCTGGCGTTTCTCTGCTTGGACCCTACACCGAGATCTCTGGTCTGAATCGCTGACATGCTGCCCCCACTGGTTTGAGGCATTTGGGGGTTGGCACCCCTCCTGGCCACACACCCGAGTCTTCTGGTGTGACTCGCCTGTGCCCCACTGGGGTTCGGAACAGGTGGTGGCCACGCCCCGGTGCGCTCTGGAAGGCTCTGCAGGGGGGGCCCCACCCGCCAGACCTGTCCAGCAGGGCTGGGGAGGCCGGTGTGGGAAGCTCCTGCCCTCACCCCCTCCCTACCTGCTGGCCACACCCAGGCCTGGCCGCAGTGCACACAGGGACTGTGGCACCCCCTAGTGGAAGAGGAGAGAACTCGGTCCCCACCGGGGTGACCTGGAAGGAAGTGGAAGGGGCCAGAGCCAAGGGGTTCAAGGGTACCCTCCCAGTTTTCGGGACGGCAAAGGGACCTCTGGGACTGTGACGGCCTGGAGCCCCGACTTGGAATCGAGGCTGCAGGCGGAGGTGCGGATCTGCGCGCAGGAAGGAGTGGGGGAGGCGGGAGGCGTAATCGTGGGCCTGGCTCAGGCTCCTGAGCAGCGAGGGAGACGCCATGCTACCCTCGCCCTCTGAGGCCTGGGATTTAAGTGCGAAGACTGCACGCCGGCGCTCGGCAGCCACTCTGTGTGTGTGTGTGTGTGTGTGTGTGTGTGTGTGTGTCAGGAGCTCTTTCTCCAGTTCCACCCCTGCAGCACTGAGTTAAACACTTCTGCCTCTGTCTAGCTGGGACAGTGAGTGACATTTACTTAAGTGGACCCCCCCCCCGTAGTGTAGCTGGGGACCTCACTGGGCCACAAAAGGTGCTGGGAAAGCAGAAACTGAGAAAGGCCCCTGTGCCTCGGTCCTCAGAGCCACAGGGCCAGGCTGGGCCCTGGAAGCGGGGGTGGGGCGGCAGGAAGGGTCTCTGGCTGCCGTAGCACCCTGCCCCAGGGTGCCAGCCGCCCCCCACCCCCCCACCCCCGCCCCAGGCCGGCCCGGCCCAGCCCTTTAGAACCCTGTGCCCAGTTCCGACTCGCCAGACACCCCCTCATCTGGCTGCCGTCAACCCCAAGGACTGGGGCCGCCTTCCGGAGCACACGTGTGCAGCTTGCCGCGTGCTCTTTCGAACAGCCCTTCCTAAGGGCACCGGCTCCTTCAGCCTGCCCCTCGCTGCAGGGGGGCGACGTAGTGGTGGGGAGAGGGGCCCGAGGGCGGAGGCCGACCCCCAAACACCGACTCCTTCCCTGGAGCCTCTCTGGGGCTCCAGGTGAGGCTGCGTGAGACTCGCAGGGAAATCTGTGTTTGCTCTGAATTCAGACCAGAAAGGAAGTGGCATGTTTTGCCATGGGGGGGAGGGCTGCACCTTGCAAAAGCATTTCCGGTGCAGGTTTGGGAGCAGCGGTGCAGGCAGGTGGAGAGGCCTGCGGGCACAGGGGGCAGCTGGCCCCTGCACACCCCAGTCTGCCGGGGCGGGGGGGTGGGCACTGCCCGAGGGAGTCCTGACCCGGCCCAGCCTGTCCCAGCCTGCTGTCCGGAAGGAGGGGGACGGTGCGTGGGAGAAAGAAGACAGGAGGCCGCCCGGTGCTTCCTGTCTCCGCCCAGTCTGCGAGGTGGGCGACCGCAGGCTCCCGTTGCGTCCTCGGGCTCCGGCACCTCCGTCCGGCGGAGCCACTTAAAAGCAGGGTGTTTCGAGCAGAAATAGAAAGGAAACGAGTTAGGGCCAAGTGGTACCTATTTCCTTCTCCCCTCCTGCAGCAGCAGAAACGTGCCCACACCTCGAGAATCACTCAGTGCTGCAGACGAATGGCTCCCCCACCCCATCCTCCAGGTCCCACACGGAGGGCCCGTCACACGGCACGGGCTCCACCCGTGTCCACTCCGTGCACACACAAGTCCGAGAGTAAAAGTCCCGGTCTTCTCCCCCAGGCCCAGAAGTTTACACGGAAGCCAGCCCACCCGCAGGGCCTCCGACACAGCAGTGTCACCGGGTGTCACGGGACATGCCAACAGCACCACGCTGCGGGAGGGGGCGCGGGCAGGTGCCCCAGGTCTCGGGGCCCTCCAGGGTCCAGGGAAGGTAATGCCTGCTCGGTGGCACCGAGTCTGTGGCGTGGCGCCCGGAGGGGACCGGCCTGTGGACGGGCTGGCCTGTCCCCCGACCACACCAGCCCACTCCCGAGGGGCCGGGGCTGGTTCCAGGAAGGAGCACCCGGGGGACCACAGTGCTGGAAGTGGCCGGGCCTGCGCCTTGCTCCCTCGGCTCCAGTGCACCCACCCTGGTTTCAGAGCCCGGCAAGGCCCCGCATGTGTGCGGTCGTTGGAGCGCCGGTCGCAGGGATGCTTGCCCCTCCTCCCCTGGCGGGCGCCGGGCCTCCCTCCAGGGACAGAGACGACAGTGAGGGCTGCGGGTACGTGTTTGGATTTATTATGCTGTCCTGAACACGGACCAGACCGCGCAGCCGTGGGCGAGATTCCAGCCTGCACGGCAGTGTCTTCCATCACACACGGGTCGCTGCGGCTGCAGCAGCAGCGGCAGCTTTCAAAGGACGGGTAAATGCCCAGAGACCCCAGCCGCGGCTGGCTCCGCGGCTGAGTGCCGCGCCAGCAGGGGAGGTGCCGGTCCCAGCAGACGAGGTCACGCGCCTGAACGGCACGCTGCCGGAGGAGCGTGGGGGGCTCTGTCCCAGGGCCCCCGAGCCCCACGTTGGCCCTGACGAGGGGGACAGCTCGCCCTGACCATGTCATCCAGTGGCCTCGGTGCCCCCAGCAGCACTGCTTGGTGGTCCCGGGGCCCCAGCAGTGGCCTCGCTCAGCGTCCAGAAGACACACCCGCAGGACCTGGGGGTGGCAGCTGCCCCAGGGCCACACTCTAGGCCCAGGGGCTCTGCAGGGCCCAGTCACGTGGGGAGGGGGTGCTTTTCTCCAGTGTCGGCCCCCACGGGAGCAGCACGTGCCGGCCACTCGAGGTATTTCTGTCCTGTCTCCCGTCCCGGGCGGGGGCCAGCTCCACGGCACAGGGTGACGGGACTGGCTGCCTCCAGAAACCACCCCCCTCCAGCCCCAATCTCCAATGCGTCCTTAGCGTCACAAAACCCCAGAGAGCAGCCCAGCATCCGGGAGCCTTCGGGCGACCGTGGGCAGGTGCAGGGTGAGGCGGGGTCTCCGGTGACACACGTGCGGGCACTCTGCACGTCCACGGGTCTCAGGGGCCGGGCCAGGTGGCCACGGGAAACGCCCGTGAGGCAGCCGCCCCTCCCAACCCGGCCCCAAGGCCACAGCCCAGCTGAGAGCTCGGGGACAGAGGCTGGGCCTGAGCTAGCAAGAGGGCGGGTTGGGGGGAGGTGAGAACCAAGTGACGGTGACGATCAGGCGCTTCCAGGACGAAGACCCAAGTCCACGCCACGGCGCCTGGGTCATGGAACCCGGCCTGAGGGGGGGCACAGTCCCCAGTCCCGGCGCGGCCACCGGGAGGCGGACAGTCCTCCGGCCTCTCACACACCTGTGCCTCCGCCTCCACGGTGCCGCCTCCCTTCCCGGCGCCGCACACCGTCCGCGGGGCGTCACCCGGCCGGGCGGGGGGGCCCCACCGAGGGTCCTTCCGAACGGCCACCCGGCAGGTGTGCTCAGCGGTCAGTGCTCGGGGGACACGAGAGGGTCTCGGGACAGGGCGGAGGGGGCTCGCAGACGGCCCGGCATCACAGGGCCCGGGTCTCCGCTTCGATCTTCTGCTCCCCGTGCAGGCCGTCGGGGTCCTGCGGCTGCGCCACGCTCTGCCGCACGGCGATCTCGGGGCCGCCGCCGTACAGGCCGTGCAGGTAGGCCCAGGTCTCCTCTGAGATCTGCCCGTAGTCGGCGCCTGCGGGGCCCCAGGGGCCATTGGTCGGGCGGAACTCGCCCTCACCACCACCCCCCCCGCCCCGCCCGCGCCCCTGTGCCCTCGATGGCACCGTGGGCCTGACAGCGCGGGGGGGGGGGGGGCTCCGGCAGGGCCAGGCCCCGGGGAAGGGCAGCCGCAGGCTTCTGGGTAAAGCTGCCCAGTGGGAATCTCAGGATGTCCCAGCACCACACCCATCTGCCGAGGCCCCCACTGGGCACGTCTCTGGCTGTGCCCCTTGTCTCCCGGGGTGGGGTTTGCAGGAAGGGTGTGCAGGTGAGGCCGGCAGAGGGCAGGGCTGGGGCAGAGGAGCCGGGAGGACCCACGTAGAGGCCAAATGCCTCCGCCCACGCACTAGGGCCTGGACCTGGGGGTACACTCGGCCTGATTCAGACAGGCGCCGGGGACTCCCAGAAGGACCTGCCCAGCAGCCTGGGGGCGGGGGGCGGGGAGGACGTGAGGCTCACCCTGCTTCAGTTGGATGTGGCCGCCTCCCTTCACCTGCGCGATCCTGCTGTTGTCGATGGGCCCGGGGGGCTCTAGAAGGGACAGGGCCCCCCAGCTCAGCACCTCTGCACCCCAGTCCCGGCGCCCCTCCTCAGCCCTCCACCCACAGGTGTGAGTGGCCTCCAGGTGTGAATCCCACCCCTGTGGCCTTGAAGAGGCTGCCCTGAGCCTGAGGGGCCATGGGGTTCCTCCTGGGGAGAGGGGGCGGGGGCACCAAAGGCTCATCCACAGATGCCTGGGGGCTGGAAGTGGGTGGAAGCAGAGGGACCCCACAGAGGGACTTCCTTGGACCCTCGCACTGGTTTCTGACTCCAGCTCGGGGTGGGGGGCGCAGGGCCAGTGCCTGCTGGACATCGCCCTAATCACTGACGGCAGCTGCCACTCACTGAGCACCTTTCTGAGGGACTCCAGCATCTGACAGGATCCTCAGCAGCCACCGAGTGGGAAGAGGGTGCTTACAGAGATCCGGGAGGTGACCGCCGGGGCTGAGCCGGCAGGGGCGACGCCAGAGCCTGAGGTGGGGGTGGCTCCAGAGCCAGCTCTCCCGCACAGCCACACCCGGGCGCCCCACTGACACTAGGGAGGCCTCAGGGCGTCCCTGCCCTCGGACTAGGTGACAGTGAGGCCCCGCCCCTTCCCCTGGCCACGCCAGTACCGGCAGGTGCTCAGGCTCTGAAAGGCGACCGCCCGACCCAACCTGGGAGCCCGCAGGTGGGACGATGGTGACAGCCCGGGCTGCGCTCTGCTCTTCGTCCCTGGGGCTGCAGGCAGCCCGGGGAGCGGCCTTGCACCAGCCCTGTTTCCGCCTCAGTAAGTCAAGGGGCCAGAGGGACAGTGTCCTTTTTCAGGAGTCTGTAGCCACCTGACAACTGACGTCTATTGTTTGGGGCAACAGAACCCCAAAGGAAAGGGCCTGACAGCGGGGCGGGGGTGGGGGGCAGCCGCCTCCCCTGGGCATCAGCTGGAGAGCGCGGGGGGGGGGGTGGGCATGGGTGCCCGGCCCGGGGCGGGGCCAGCTGGAGGAGCACCCGCCTCCTCCGCTCACCCGGCAGGGCGTTCACCGAACGCGGTGGCCCCCAAAACCTGCTGAGCGGGCACAGCATCGGGCCCCGCCCCTCGCCTCCTGGACACTCCCAGCAGATCCACACACCAAGGCCCCCCCGCCCCACTCACCATTGTCCTTGCCCTTGACGAAGGCCTCCCACTCCCGGAACCACTGCATGCTGATGCAGAAGATGACGCTGGGCGACTCCTCCGCCTGGAAGGCCTTGTTCAGCTGGGCGGGGCGTGCGGGAGGGGCGGGGCGCAGGGAGCAGCCGCACGGGTCAGCACCGAGGTCCTGACCCCGCCCAGCCCCAGCCCCAGCCCCTGCCCCTGCCCCTCGTGCACACCCCGCCAGACACCCCAGGCAGGACACTGCCGGCTCCCAGACGGGTCAAAGGAAACAAACGCCCCCCACGGTCCACCCCTCCCACGTGGCCGCCAACGTGTGGTGGATGTCTTTTCCATAACTTTTTAAAAACTCAGTCAACTGAAACGACACGGTGGATGCTGTTTCTCCCCACTTCACAGAACTGGCTCACTCACAGACTACTCTGACCGGACCGTGTTTCCTTGGCCACCGAGCGTGGCTCCTGAGTGGCTTTTGCGGCCCCCCCACCCCCGCTGGTGAAGGACGGGTGGTCCCCGAGACCCCTGTTCGGAGCAGCCCCAGGGAGCGGCGAGCTGCGAGCCTCTGTCCTCACGCCCCCCCACGCCCGCGCCCGCACTGCACAAGTCCCTTCCCTACACGGCGGGCACTGGGCCCGGCTGTGCGGCCTGCTTTGTGCACTGAGCGCTGTCTCCATGCCACTCTGCTCTCAGCAGGGACCCTGTCCTCCAGGAACCACCAGCCCCTGGCTGGAGGTGACCTTGGCTGTCACCAGCACTGCTCAGAGGCCAGGGATGCTGCTAACCCTCCCGTGACACACGCCACAGCCCGAACAGCAGCACCCTCTTCCTGCAACAACTGCCGAACGGTGTGCCAAGCGCCAAGTGCATGCACCTGAACTTGCCAAACCCAGCCTGTCTGCCAGCAAATACCCTAAACGTTCCGATCGCCCACGGAACACAGCCACCAAACACACTGACTCGGGTCCCCGGGTGCCCTTGGGTCCCCAGCAGAGGCTGGGGCCCCGGCTCCCCCGTGCCACCCGCACCTGCATGCACCTTAATGAAGGTGTCGATCTCAATCCGCCTGCGCTTGGCCAGCGCCTCGATCTCCACCTGGCAGACGGAGCACACGTAGAGGTGGTTCACGGCGGGGCCGCCCCCAAACCTGCACGGGGCGGGCGGGGAGGCAGAGAGAGACACAGGCGGCCTGAGGGGCGGCCCCGCGGGGCAGGCCGTGGGCTGGCTGGAGGGCGAGGACTGTGGTCCACTCGCCCGACCCTCCCCGCCCAGGGTGGCTCCTGGCGCTGCTCCCCTGGGTGCCCTGCGCCCAGCGTGTTCACTGGTCTGTCTCCCGCACCAGACGGACAAGGGCACCGGCATGCCCGCAAGCCCGTGGTGCCCAGCGGGGCGCCTGCCCCAGGGCCAGTGCGTCCCAGTATGCTTCATGGCCGAAGGACACGTCAACCCTCTCGCTTCCTTTCCTGGCTACTGGCCGGGGCTGTGGCGGCTGACGGGGCCTGGCCGGACCCTGAGGACACCGTCAGGGTGGGGGCTGTAGACCCTGCTGCAGGCAGGAGCATGGACCCCGCAGGATTTGGGGTGCACCTCCTGTGGGGTTCTGTCCCACCCACCCAACCAGCAGGTAGATGGGGCAAAGCCAGTCCCACAGAGGCCGGGGCGGCCAGAGCCCCGTGGCCTCCCCTTGTGCACCTGCCTGACCCCTCCCTCGAGGCTGTGGCACACCCGGCCTGCCCCGCTGCTGTGACCCGGGCCTGGGCAGGTCCTCAGGAGAGCCACCGGCTCTTGGCCTTGCTGAGCTTGAACTGGAAGGGCCCAGGCACCACAAGCCCTGAGCCACATGAGCCAGGTATGGTGGTGGTGGTGGTAGGGGGCGTGACAGCCAGCCTCCCGGCGGCCAGCACCCCCAGGACTACCCGTTAGAGGGCCCGACGTGCTGGCTTCTGTTGGGCCGGTCTGCTGCCCCTCGTAACTGCAGGGCCCACTGGGCGCCCACCGACGACATTTCCCTCGATGCAGACACAGCCCGAGGACCGCCCTGCCACTGCCCCTGTGCAGCCGCTGCCCAAGAGGAGGGTGGCAGGCCCTCCCCCGCTCCCTTCCCGCCCAGGAGCGGGCGCCCTCCAGGGGGAGCCTCACCTGTTGTACAGGTGCTCCCACACGTTCTGGGGCAGGATCACCACCAGGTCGTCGATGTAGTGGTACTTGTTGGGCGGGATGCCTGCGGCGGAAGGTGCAGGGAGAGCAGGGTCAGGGCTCGCCCCCAACACCCGCCCTCCCCTGCCCTCCCCTCCCTGGTGGAGAAGGCGCCTGCACCTCCGTGGGAGCAGAGGAAGGTGTGGTTGGTGATGGGCCCCGGCTCAGCGAAGGTGTTGAACTTGTTGAGCCATTCCCGGGACACGTAGAACCGCAGCAGGCTGGGCTCCCGCATGGCCGCTAGGGACACCACCTGCTGCCGCTCCCGCACCGCCTCCTCGCTGCTCTTCCTGGGCGGGGCGGGGCGGGGCGGGGAGGCTTAGGGGCCCCAGGGCTGGGCCTGGGCTCCCGTGACCCCCACCCCGCCCAGCGCGGGGGCACTAGCCATGCCCTGTCCGGGGCTGCGTTCAGAGGCACCCCTACCTCCTGGATCCAGCCTCCCACACCCCGTGGCAGTCCATCCACCTCTCAGCAGAGCCCACCACCCCTGCCAGAGTCCTGGCCACCGTCACCTCCCTCGGGGACCACTGTAGAAGACACAAACCTGACCTCTTAGGTCTTCCGCTTCCCCCCAGTCAGAGGTCTCTTAAAACCCTGAATCCTTACCCCTAGGCCTTAAACACACCCAGGCTCCACCCCCCACACACCCAGCGTCAAGGAAACAACAGTGGCCGGAGGTCCAGGCCCACGGGTCACCAGCCCCAGGCCGCCCGCCCCAACGCCGGCCCAGGCCCCCACCGGTAGAATAGGACGTAGGCCTCCGCGCTCTGCACCACCGTCTCGTGGACCTCGGTGACGTACTGGTCGTCGAACTCATACCACTGCCCGTTGATGACGTTCTGGCAGTAGGCGATGTAGTGGCCGCCTGGGCGGGGAGAGGCGCAGGGTCACAGAAACCCGGGGGGTGGGGGCCGGGCGGGGCCGGGCGGGGCAGGGCTGCCGGACTCACTGCCTGCGGTGCCGTGGTGGCAGATGACGGAGAGGAGGTCGTAGGTGGTGATCTGGGACGTGCACTCCTTGGCGAGGAAGGGGCGCAGGTCCAGCCCCTCGAGGGGGAAGGAGACGTGGCTGCTGATTTTGAAGGAATACATCACCTCGTGCCGGAAGCGCTTCAGGTGGATGCACAGGATCTGGGGGGAAGAGCCGAGTGCTGCTCGTTCCGGGGCTGACCAGGGGGCCCTGAGACTCCGGCCACCCAGACAGGGGCCTCGACGCAGGCCCCTCTAGCCCTCTGCTAGCCCTCTGCTTGACCCCCTGTCATCGAGTGGAAGCCAGAAGCGCAGCAGCTGGAGCCTTCCCTGGACCAGGCCCCCGACGGACTGCGCCCTCGGACTCTGAGCGCCCAGGAGAACTCCGCACGGCAGCCGGCTGGGCTCCCGAAGTCCCACGGGAAAGGCGGGCGGGAGGTGGGCTGAGATGCAGTCCTGGGGACAGCTGCCGAGAGGGGCCGTCCCGGGAGCTGAGAGCAGCCGGCTGCACAGGGAGCAGGCTGTCACCGGCCCGTGGAGATCACTGTCCCCAAACTCCGACACCCGGTTCTGTTGGCACCGCCTCTCTGGAAGCGCCTCCACCGAGGCTCCCCGCCCTCCGCACTGGCCCCGCCCCCTCGTGGTGGGCCTGCCCCTGCTCCAGCCGCCTGGGCCTCCCCTGGTGCGGCTGTGCCCCTGCCTGCCGCAGGGATCTGCCCACCTGGTCCTGCCAGGCCCTCCTCCCACGAAGCCAGCACCGGCCCACAGCAGCCCACATCCTCCGGGCTCATGCAGACGCCACCGCCTCAGAATGGCCCTCCCTGACACCCCGCCAACCAGGCCCCCTCCCCTCGAGGCTGCCTACTCCAGCTGGCGGCCTCCGCGCCCCCTGCACCTGCCTCAGGGTGACACCGGAGCTGAGGCCACGAGAGAGGGGGTGCCGAGTCCCAAAGTGACCATGGGCCCCGTCCCTCCGCCAGACCCTCCCGGGAGGCCCCCAGCCACAGTGTCGCGTCCCCACGGCCTCTCTCCCTCAGAGCCCCTGAGTCGGGAGGGGTCGCCCTCCGCCAGGCAGGCCCCCACCTGTCAGCATGGAGGGGCCCGGCAGGCCCGGGGCGGCCGCCGCACTCACCTCGGGCAAGCGCAGAACCTTGCAGTACTTCACCCCGTTCCGCAGCCTGGGGGGAGGGGAGGAGAGCCGGCGGGATGGTGAGCCACCCAGTGCCGTGGCTGCGGGCTGGACGAGCGTCCCTCCCGCCCCGGCCACCTCTGTGCGATCCGGCTGGAACCTCCTGGGGAGCCCCGGGCGGCGCATGCGGACCACACGCGGGCCCGGAGGGCGAGGCGGGACGCGGGGGCGGCCGCACGCACACACTCACTTTTTACAGCGTTCGCAGCTGTACATGTTGTCGCCTAGAGCGGGGAGAGACGGGCGCGGGTCAGCGGGAGGGCGGGCCGGTGGGCGGCACCCCGCCCACGGCGGCTGGAGCTTCAGAAGCACAAGCCCACGCCTGCCCACCCGAGACTTAAGGGACACGCGGGCTGGGAGCGGAGGGTGGGGAAATCGTCGCTGAAACAGCAGGAGTGGCCACACTCGGAGCGGGTAAACCATCAGGGACAATCAGTTCCGAGAGACGAAGAGGGTCGCTACAGCGACAAAGGGGTCAATGCATCCAGAGGACGCGACCATTGCAAACATACCGTGGCCGACCCTGGACGCCGGCCTGTTTCAAACACACACGATGAGGGGAGAAACGGACAGCAACACGGCAGCGGGGACTCCCTGCTCTGCTCCGCGCACCGGACACCTGAGCGCACACACAGTGCCCGCCGGGACGTCGACAGGGACCGCAGACCGGACCGCAGACCCGACCGCAGACCCGACAGCGAACACACACCCGGCAGGCGCACCGGGCGCTCCGGCCGGCGGCAGCAGCACACTCGTTCCCCGGGACCAATCACACGCTGGACCACGGCGCAAGCCTTAACGCATCGCAGGAGGTAGAAACTTTGTATAGTGTCATTTCCAGCCACAGCGGCATGAGACTGGAAACCAGTAAGAAAGGGAGAACTAGAATAAAACACAGGAGCCCATGGGCAGAGAAGAAATCTAAAGAGAGCTCAGAGTATCTTGAGACAAATGAAAATGAATGTTCGACATACCAGCGCCAATGGGATGCAGCGAGGGCGGTCCTAAGAGGGAATTTTATAGCGACAAATGCCTACATTACCCAACAAACGAACAAGCAGACCCTCACACAAACAACCTGTCTTCAAACCTCAAGGAATTAGAAAAGCAAGAAGAAACCAGGCCCGAAGTTAGCAGAACGCAGGAGACGGTGAAGAATATTGCAGAAATGAACAAAGCACACCAGACAGCAGGGAAAGCATCGATAAAACTAAAAGGGTCTTTTTTTTAAAAGATTTTATTTATTTATTTTAGAGAGGGAAGGGAGGGAGAAAGAGAGAGAGAAACATCAATGTGCGGTTGCTGGGGGCCGCGGCCTGCAACCCAGGCATGTGCCCTGACTGGGAATCGAACCTGCGATGCTTTGGTTCGCAGCCCGCGCTCAATCCACTGAACTACGCCAGCCAGGGCAAGAGGGTTTTTTTTTTTAATAAGCAAAACTGACAAACCTTTAGCCAGACTAACCAAGAAAAAAGAGAGGACTCAAACAAACAAAATTATAACTGAAAAAGGAGGCGTTGCAGCTGATACCACGGAAACACCAAGGGCCAGAAGAGGCCACGCCGACACACCGGACAACCCAGAAGAAGGGGAGAAACGCCCAGGGGCGCACACCCTGCCACGGCTGAACCAGGGGGAGAGGGGGCATCTGAGCCAGCCAGTAACGCCCGAGAAGGTTGGAGTGGCGACAGAAACACCTGCCAACAAAGGAAAGCCCAGGTGAATTCTACCAAACCTTTAAAGAAGGATAATGCCCATCTCCCTCAAACTCTTCCAAAAAACTGAAGAGGGAGCAGCACTCCAACACTCATTTTTTTAACAAGATTTTGTTTATTTATTTTTAGAGAGAGGGGAAGGGAAGGAGAGAGGGAAAGAAGCATACACTGTTTGCCTCTCTCACGCCCCCTACTGGGGACCTGGCCCGAAACCCAGGCATGTGCCCTGACTGGGAATCAAACCAGCAACCTTTGGGCTCGCAGGCCGGTGCTCAATCCACGAAGCCACACCAGCCAGGGCCCAAGCTTATTTTACAAGGCCAAGATTACCCTTATACCAAAGCCAGGTAAGGCAACTACAAGAAAACTACAAGCCAATATTCCTGATGAAGATAAACAGAAAAATTCTCAGCAAAATTCCAGCCAACCGAATTCAGCAGCACGTTAAAAACAACCGTGCACCACGGTCAAGTGGGATTTACCCCTGGGACGCAAGGATGGCTGGACACGCCAATCAGTAAACACGATACACGACATCAACAGAACGAAGGATAAAGCGGCACCATCCCGTCAGGAGGGACAGAAGAGTCCCCTGACGAACTTCAGCGCCCATCTTTTCGTGATAAAGGGTCGCGGCAGACTGGCACAGAAGACACAGCATGTCGCAGGCTGTGTGTGACAGCCCACGCCAGCCTCAGGCTCCACGGGGAGAAGCCGAAAGCGTCTCCTCCACGACCGGGAAAAGGCAGGGGTGCCCGCTCTCGCCGCTCCTGCTCAGAGCCGCGCTGGAAGTCCGAGCCAGACCCAGCGGAGAAACAGGCCAAGGGCAGACGTGGCAAATGTCAACATAGGAAACACCGACCGCCAACGCTCCTCCGTAAAAAATGTCCAAGCAATCGATAGTCAAGGAAGTGCAGAATTAAGGCGTGTCATTTTTGTCCGCCACACTGGAAAGAAAGGAGAGCAGGGGAGCTGCAGGGGGGAGGGTTGGGAGGACACGCGGCCGCGGGCCCGGCCTGGCGGGGAGCGGGGGACCCTGACGGGGCAGCCCCAGAAACCTCGGGACCCATGCCAGCCCGGTCCACTCACCCTTCAGCTCATCGGCGGCAAAGAAGGCGGCGAGGCAGTCTTCCAGGGTGATGACCGGCCCCCAAAACCAGCTGGGGGTACAGGATACCACAAACCTATGGAGACAGAAAGGGGGGGCTGAGGCCTGCCCCGAGGCCTGCGTCGTGGCCCAGGCAGCGGAGTGGACAGAGGTCTGGAGCCAGACGCCTGGGACCGCCGGCCAGCAGGTCGGCGACCTTGAGCCTCGCCTTGCTCAGCTGTGGAGGGGCCTGGCCACACTGGCCGCCCTCTGGACACGGCACGTGCTCCCAATGCCGGGCGGGTAAAGCAGGCGTCAGGGCACGGGGGGGGCTGTGGAAAGCCGCCACTGCCCTCCCCCCGGGGCCAGAGCTGCCACCCTCCTCTCTAGCTGCTGCCTGGTCACGCCTGTGGGTACCTGCCGTCCGGCCCCAGGACCCGCCCCATCCAGGCCGTCACACTGTGGACGGGGGCACCCCCACCCCACCTCGCCGACTCCCACGCACCCTTCAGCCTACAGCTCCCTCCTGGACTCTGCCCTCACCCCTGCTAACGCCTGGCGTCTGCTGCTTCGGGTCTGCCGCCCGCCCGGCCCTGAGTCCCAGGGAGGCGGGGCCGGGCGCACTCGTGTCCCCAGGGGCCGGGAGAGGGGCGTACCGTCGGATGTACTCCAGGATGAAGGCCAGCCAGCCCTGGGCGGTGTAGCTGTCCCCGCAGGTGCCCGGCTTGGCCGGCACGTTCTGGTAGATGGCCGAGTGGAGCTTGGCCAGGTCCTCCTTGCCGGGGATGGGCAGTGACAGGTCCTGGAATGTCTCCACCGTAGTGGACACCTGTGGGGTTAAAGATCAGCCTGGGGGTCCACCTTCCAGAATGCTGCCCTGCCCAGACCAGTCAGAGTCCGTTCCCTGAGTCCCAGCCACCAGCTGGCCGGTGTGAGGCAGAGGGCCAGCTCCTCAGCTCCTGGACACTGGACACGGGCGCTCCCCGACCAGGGCCCTCGGGAGAGGCAGGGGCTTCAGGCGGAGCACCCGCTCCCCGCTCCCACCCCAGGGAGGACTGCCGAGGCCGCCGGAGCCGGCGCCGGAGCCGGAGCGTCCCGCCCCCCGCAGGGCCCTCACCCGGTCACAGGTGAGGCACTGCACCAGGCTGAGGATGGAGCCGTCGAAGATGTCGGAGATGACGCTGCGGTAGCGCTGCTCCTTCCGCCGCCGGCTGCCGGCGCTCGGCACCTGGGCTGCGGGCAGAGCAGGGAGCTGGGTGCAGCCCCCGCTGCAGGGGCAGGGGCAGGGGCAGGAGTTGGGGCTGGTTTGGCCAGGGCAGGGGGGGCGCAAATCTGAGTCGTGTGACTAGGTCTTCACCGCCCGGTGCCCCAGTCACGGTCTGGAAGGTGGGGCTCCCCTCCTCAGGCCCCGGTGGTGTCAGGGGGGCTCGGAGATGCTGCACGAGGGGCAGAACCCCGGCAGCGGGCCCTCGGAAACGCCGCCACGGGCACGACTCTGGCCCCCAGCCCCCAGCTCGGCGCCATGCCCCACGGACCTCCCCTGCCCGCCGACCCCTCCGAACCTTTCTTGAGTACGTAGGACGGCCCCACCCTCACGGGGCTCGCGCGGGGAGGGCTGCCGGCCAGCTTGGCGTGGCCCTCAAGGTGGTGGACAGGGCTGCAGGGCCGAGACGCGCTGCGCATGTGGGCCTCGTTGTCGGGCTCTGGGGACAGAGCGGGCGCTGTGCTGGGCCCGGCCGCCACGCCGGCTCCGGCTCCGGGGTGTGGTCGGGAAGGGGACCCGCCAGCCCCTCCTAGAGGGACCGGGGCCTGAAATGCGGCCCCCCCACCCAACCCGTGTCCCCGTCTGTGCCCACAACACTGCACGTGCGCAGGGGAGGCTCAGGGTTCCGGGGCGGGCTCCGAATCCCACGCCAGCTTTGTCAGCTCCGGGGGTCTCGCTTCAGCCTCTCCCCCCCAGCAGCTGGTCTCGGGCTAGGGACCCACCCCCCGCCCCCCCCCCCCACGGTGGTGGCGGGACTGAGCGCCGGCGCTTGGCCCGCAGCGGGCGCCGGACCCCCGGCCGGGGCTCCCCGAGCGGCCGGCCGGTACCTGGTGTGCGGCAGGGACTGGCGGGCCGTGGCGACGGCGGCCGAGCCTGCCGCAGCTGGCGGTCCAGGGCGGCCACGGCGGTGTCCACGTCGGCGTCCTCGTCCACCTGCGCGGAGCCGGTGCGCTGCTGGCCCCAGGAGAACTTGCGGTCCTTCATCCGCTCCTTCTCGGAGATGGCGCGGCCCGCCTCGTCCGCGAGGAGCAGCTCCGCCTCGGGCTGCGAGCCGCCGCCGCCGCCGCCCCGGCCCTGCCCGTCCCCCTCGCCCCTGTCGCTGCTGGAGTCGCAGGACAGAAACTCGTCCTCCGACGGGCTCCGGTCGCCCTCCCTCTTCTCGTCCGAGTCGCTCGAGTCCGAGTCCCGGGCCTCCGCCAGGGCCGCCGCCGCCGCCACCACCGGCTCCTTGAGCTCCTCGTGCAGCTGGTCCATCAGGCAGCGCAGGAACTCCTGGGTGTCCTGGAACGGGGGTGGCCTCAGCGTCAGCGGGGCCTCCCCGGGGTGGGGGGGAGCCGGCCACGAGCCCCCGGCTGCTTCTGGCGCCCAGGAGCCCCGCCAGGCACCGAGCCGTCCTGGCCGGAGCCCCCTGGGGCAGACGCACTGACTGGCCCCTCACAGGGGCCTCCACGGCTCTCGGTCCCAACCCCCGCAGGCCGGGCGCCCCCTCCCAGGTCACACAGCAGCTGCGGGTGGGCAGAGCCGAGGTCCCTGCTGCGTCCATCTGACCCCCAGCTGACGCTCTCCAGCAACTGTCACGCTGCTGCCGTCTCCGTGCGGGAGAGAGCAGAGCTGTCACATTCAGTCACTAATGCCACCTTGCTCCCTGAAGGAGGGGACCCCGGGGGCAGGCAGGGAGCCCCAGGAAGAAGGAAGGCAACACTGAAGGAGCGGGTGCAGCGAGGGCTCCACAGAGATCCGCAGAGAGCAGCGCCACCTGCAGGCCAGGCCGCCCTCGTCCTGCACCACCTGCCTCCGGTTCTCCCTGCTCTCCCGGTCCTGCCGGTGCCCCGGGTCCACCTTCCCTTGCCCAGGCGACCGACCTGAGGCAGGAGCACAGAGTGTCACCTCCCTGCACACCTGGCGTGACTCAGACTGAGCTGTCACTCCAGGTCTCAAATCCCAGTATCGAGGATTCTGTTTCGACTGCTCTGTGGCCACGCTGCCAGCCCCGCGGGGAGCCGGGGCGGCGAGGCCGCGGGCGGGCACAGCCTGTCCCTGAGCCCGGTCTCCAGCGGTGCGCACACAGGGTGTGTGGCTTGGAAAGGCCTGGAGGTGGTGCGGGCGGCTGGCCTCCCACAGCTGGGGGCACCTGGCACCTTGCTGAGCCACTGGGTTCAAAGTCCCGTTCTGCCCCCCGCAGTCCCTGACTCAGACGCCAGAAGTAGCGGCCAGCTGCTGACCGCAGGGGGCGGGCGGCGCGCGGCAGCCACACAAGCCTCGCTCCCGAAGGCTCACGTCACACACACGGGGAGGGCGGCCTCTCCCCTCCGCCCCAGCAGAGGGAAGGGCGGCCCACTAAGCATGGCCTTGTCTCGAGTCGGGGAGCGGGGTGGAGGCGGGTGTGCCTGGCCAGCGGCTCTGACCGGCCCTTTAAGAACCTGGCCTTCGCCCGCCATCCACTGTTCTTCCCGGGTCTTCCTTTTAACGAAAGGACTCCGTGCCTGTCACTGGGACCTCAAGCCAGGCGGAAGCAGGGCAGACAGCATCCCCGGGCCACCGCGGGGCCGCAGCTGTGTCCACGCCAAGACCCAGGAACGTCCCCTGCTGCGGGGGGCGGGGGCGTCGGGCAGCAGCGAGCAGGGCGGCCCCACTGTGCTCTGTCCTCACTGAGCTCCTGGGGTGGGACGGCTCAGTGAGCCTGACTCCCATCCCTGCCGCTCTGTGCTGTGTGACCTGGGGGAGTTGTGGAACCTCTCTGAGCCTCAGTGTCTTACCGATAACGTGGGGGTGAGGACAGGGCCCCCCCCAAAGAGGGTTCTGTGGGGTACCTCTCAACTCACAGGGCTGCACCTATGTGGCAGGGAGTGACCACTTAATAAACGGTGGATGCCGGACTCTGGTCACTGTGTGGACATCGTCACTCTGCAAACAGGGTGATGGTCGGGCAGCGCCGGGCTTCTCAGCCGGGAGCCCGGCGGTCACCCAGCCGAGGGTGTGAGCGGAGAGCGGCCCAGCAGCCCTCGGCCGGGGAGCGCGTGGGGGCAGGGCAGCGGCGGGGCGGAGGCATCCCTCACGTGCTGCCCCTGGCCCCCTTGTGCCCACGGCAGGAACTGCAGCCCAGGCAGGCCCAGCGGCCCCCCGCAAGCCCAGCAGTGAACCCCAGCCGTGCGACAGTGTGGGGCAGGGACCTGGACCTCCAACGGCTCGGCCCGGGGCTGAGACACGTGTGTGTGGTGCAGTCTGCTGGGTCTCGGTCCCCTCACTGTACGCCACCGAAGACCTCGGTTTCAACGGGGTTCTCCAGGGTTACAAAACTCGTAACCAAATGCTGGCTTGAATCACAGGGAGACTCGGCCTGAGGTGTGGAAAACAAGGAACCCTGTGCCGTTTTGGACGCAGTGCCGAGGCCCCCAGGCTCGGAGACGGACCGCCCGAAGCGAGCTTTCCTGCACCTTGTACCTGCCGGGTGACCTGGGTGAGTGACTTGGCCGCTCAGCCTCGGTCTCCTCATCAGTTAAGTGGGGAGACCCCCAGCAGGGTGCTAGGGGGCCCCTACGTCCTCAGCGTGAAGGGCTCAGGCAGAGAGAGGGCCCACCTCGCACCATTCAGCCTCTGCGCCCGTTTTCCACGCTGGTCGTGGCTTCAAAGCCAGGCCCGGAAGGTCACGGCCCGGGGTGGCCCCGGGGGCGGCTCAGACGGCCTACCTGCTGGGCGTAGCCGCGGAACATCGGGTTGACCAACTTGATGCCGTGGGACAGGCTGGTGGGGACCACGTAGCTCGGGCTGTGGGGAGACCAGATCGTGAGCAGCGCAGGCGGCCCGCCGGCTGGGGGGTGGGATCGGGATCGGACTCGGTGTGGGGTTCCCCACCCCTCTGGGAGGTGGGGGCCCGCTGGCTGGGAGCCCCAGCAGGCTCACGCGCCTCTAACCGGGAGGCATCCTTTCCTGCTGGTCCATGACGTGCCTACTTTTCACTCTGAAACAGCTATTGTGGCTTTTCTAGCTGCGAAGGTAACACGTGCTCATTATTGAGAAGTCTAGTACAGCAGGGAGAACAGAGGCAAAGATGTTCCCGTAACTCTGTGCGGGGCCCAGCGGGCCCTGGAGTTACCGGGGGAGAAGCACTTCGTACGTCACGTGCGTGTCTAACCACTCTGCCGCACTCCCGAGCTACAGATGCCGACTGTCGTTGAAGAGGAAAGGAGAAAAATCTAAAACCTCAGAAAAGCCTAGCAAACAAACAAACCGCCCCCAGCGACAACACCCAGAGATAGCTACCACCAAGACTTCTAGACTTTCCGAGAAAATACGGATGCACACACAAAATCACATACGGTGCATACATTTCAACCACCTTGGCTTCTTACGAAAGTGCAACTGCATTGCACCATGCTGCTTTAGAATCTGCTTCTACACTCAATACATTTCTACGTCCTCACTTTAAATTATTCCCAATTTTGACTTTTTCTGGAGAAACAGGTCTAATCTGAGCTTCTCTGGTCTTTAAATTCATTTCACGCCGAGTGGAAGCGCCCGCCACCATGTAGGAGGTCCCTTCCTACGCGCACAGTCGTGGCTGTGACCTGCGAGAGGTCACAGTGGGGGTCAGCCCGGCCCGGCACACCCGCAGCTGTGACGAGGCTGCCGGCTGGGTCAGCACCAAGTGCAGATTCTGGCTCCGTCTCTCATGGGCTGTGACCTTGAGCCGACACTTTGGTCTCCCTGAGAGTCGGTCTCCCCAGTTCACAAGACAGGGCTGGCCATGACCTCCACCTGGCAGGGCTGCCATAATCAGGAGGGGCCGGATGCCCGGACAGAGCTCGGTGGAGCGGCAGAGAGGAAACCCCCGTCCCCACGCCCCTGCCGGGGTTGGGGGGGCTGCCACTCACCGTTTCCTGTGCCAGACCTCGGACACCAGCTTCTGGTAACTCTTGCACAGGGCCGGCTTCTTGTCCGTGCGCACCAGGCCGCCGCACTCCAGGAAGAACTGGGTCAGCGGGGGGCTGGGCGTGGGGGGGTGAGCCAGGTCAGGAGCGAGAAGGTGGGAGCAGCGATCGGCTGCCCCTCGCACACCCCCTAACTGGGGACCTGGCCCGCAACCCAGGATGTGCCCTGACTGGGAATCGAACCAGCGACCCTTTGGTTTGCAGGCCAGCACTCAATCCATCTCATTACATAAGAAATAGATATTCACCGTAGAAAAATGACAAATAAGCAAACAGTAACCATCGGCCGTAACCCCGCCTGGTGAAGTCTTAACCTACTCCCAGGCTCCCCACTGGCACCTGGCCCCCGGCCCCGGGGAGGTGCCGACCTACCAGTTGGACAGGGCCTGAAGTGCTGCGTTCATGTAGCAGGAGTTCCCGAGGTTCTTCATGCCCGTGAGGCCTGGGGAGCCGGTGCACACAGGTGGGGGCGGGGGCGGGGTGAGCGCCCTGCCCTGCCCGGCCGGGCCCCTCCCAGCCCACGCCTGGAGACACGCTGTGGCTCTCCAGCCACCAGGCCCACCCACAGGAGGACACGGGCAGCTGGCGCCCCACCCCAGAGACCCACCACATAGGGAAGCGTGGTTCCCGTGCACGGCGACAGTCACCGGAGTCTATCCCCCCAGGCCACCTGCGCCTCCCCCCAGGCTGGCCCACTGTCCGCATGGGACTGGTGAGGGGGCCCCGTGCAGAGGGGCCAGCCTTCCAGGGGTCGCACCTCGGAGACCGGGCAGGAGGGCCTGCCTGGCACTCCAGGGGCAGCTGCCACGCTCTATGGGCCACCTGTCACTCCGCCGGTGCCCCGTGCATGCAGCTCCCCAACCCAGAGCTGAGCCCCGCCCCCTGTCATGGCTCCCCCCGACCCCCAGGGCCATCACCTCGAGGCTTCAGGTCATCGTCCTCCGACTCCGACTCCCCTTCATCAGCCACGGCGATGGGGACGGCTTTCAGAGGGTGGGAGGGCAGCGGGGGGTCCTGCGTCCCAGAGCGAGGACAAGGAGGGGTGAGGAGCGGGGGGAGAGGTCCAGGGGCCTCGGCGGGAGGGAAGCCCGGCCGCCCAGCCCCACCAACAGAGTCAGCCCCGCCGAGCCAAGGACAGCATGGACAGCCCTGGCACTGGTGGCCTCGCCCTGGGGACTTGCATCCTGTCTACAGTGACCAGTAACAGTTACCCATCTCACTTATAGTAAATCTGGGAACCAAAGAACCACAATGTGCGACCCAGCTCTCCTAGACAACCACCGTTAGAACTCTCCATGTTCCAAAAAAAAGCCTACAGACATATCTGTGTAAGGTTTTAACTTGATACACACACACACACACCCCCAACGGGATGTTGTCTGCATTGTTTTACAGCCTTTTTTTGTAAACAAACAAACAAACAAACCACAAACAGCTACCATGTCCGAGAGCATGACTGACCACCAGATACGTGACAGCCACTGAATGGGGTGGGGGGTGGTCCCGACACGCACACAGGAGTACCCCCAAGTCTCCCCGGAGCCCCCCAGTGGGCCCGGCCTGCGAGCTCGCTGAGGGGGGCCCCGTTCCCCGTTCCCTGGCATCCTCATCGCCTCCCATGGGCCCCGGCACAGAGCGGGGGTCCCGTGAGCATCCGCTGACGCGAGCCCCTCGGAGTCACCTGGGAGCGGTGACCAGGCACGGACGCCGCCCGGGACCCACTGACCTGCGCTCCACAGGGGTGCGGGGCACACTGCCCCGCCCTCCACACGCATTACCACCCGACAGAGCGACCCCGCTGCACCCCCGGCCCCTGTACCTGCTCGGACAGTTTGGGCGAGGCGGCGGGCAGGGGGGCCGCCAGCCGCTGCTCCAGGAACACCTCCTTCTCGCAGGCGTAACACCACACGCGGAACGTGGTCAGGTTCACGGTCAGGTTGTGCTTTTTTGCCTAGAGGGCAGGACCCAAAACGAGGTCACGGATGCCCTGGCCCAACAACAGGCGTCCGGAGCCTGCACCGGGGCTGCCTCCACCCGCGCTCCGCCCTGAAGGTCGGAATCTGCTCGCCCCGCCGCCGGAGCGCCGAGGGCCGCCACCCATCGAGCAGACGCGTGCTCGCACCTGCACCAGCTCCCGCTGCCGTGTCCGTGATTATCCCCGTTCCACAGACACGGCCGCCGAGGCCCCGGGCGGGCGGATAGAGCAGGGAGGCAGCTGGAGTGGGCTTTGAACTCTGGGCTGCCCGCCTGCCCGCCCGCCTGCCTGCGTGCCCGGGCTCCGGCCGCCACCCTTACCTGGGCGTGAATGGTGCTGTGGTCCGCAAAGGACTCTCCGCAGCCAACGTAGGGGCAGGCGACCTGGGGCGAGGGGAGGAGAGTGGGTGGGGGCTGGCCAGGAGGACGGGGCTGGCGCGGTGAGCCAGCACACCCCCTCCGTCCAAGAGGACTCCGCCCAACAGGGAGGCCCTGCCGACCCACAGGGACACAGGTACACCCCCCGCCAAGGCCTCCGGAATGGCCCCCCGAGGAAGAGCGGCCCGTCCGTCTCTGGGTGAGACGGGCAGGGCGCGCCGGGCCGCCACCCTCCCGCAGAAAGGCCAGGCAGGGAGGGCCACAGCCAGTCCTGGGCAGGGACCCTCCCGGTCTCGCTTGTCCCCTTTCCGCCACATTCCCGAGCGGCCAGTTTTGGGGGGTCCATGTTTCTGGCGGGCACGCCTGGGTCTCAGCCATTTCCTAACGGGGGGTGCTGAATAGGCGGAGACGGCGGGGGCCCCCTGCCCACCTGGTGCCCCGCAGTGTGGCCAGCGTGGCCCCGATGACCCTGCCTGCGGCCTTGCCCTCTCCGATCCCCAATCTACCCATCCACCAGGGCCCAGCGCCCATGCCTGCCCCCCGCGGGCCCGCGCCCCAGCCAGCGGCCGCTGCTCCGCAGGAGCGCCCTCAGCGTTCCCGCCTGCCGTCGGCACCGCGCAGGCTGCGGAGGGCCTTTCACGCCACACAGGGGCGTCACGGGGCTTCTGTGTCTGTCTCCCCGGGGGGCTGGGGGCTGCCAGCAGGTAGGCCCGTGGCTCACACTTCACTCTGTCGTCCCCCCGCCCCCAGGGGACCCAGCCAGCGTCTCACAGCCCACTCTGCACTGGGCGCCGGGGCCGGAGGAGGAGGAGGAGGCCGGAGTCCCGGGGACCCTGTGTCTTCTGCAAAGACAGGCTTGCACTGTGATGTCCTCGCCCCCTAAAGCTGCCTTTTCTTCCTGCTTGTGTTTGTTTTTGAGGGGATTTTAAGTCACGGTCATTTTCAGTATAATTTGAAAATGTAATAATGCATGCATGCAGAAGACTTGAAAACTACTTCAGAATCAGAGAAAAAAAATAAAAACTACCTGTAACTCTACTACCCACTGAAAACCGTCCTGTTATGTCTGTCAGCCCCTTTCTATAAACAATAATTAAAACTCGACCAGCCGCTGCTGCGCACCGGCCACGTGCACATGCCCTGCCGCGCCGTCACCGGCATGGTCTCCTCCGACTCTGCCCGGGGGGGGGGCACGGACCCCAGGAGGCGGAGCCGTCGTCACGGCCGTGGCCCCCACTTTGCAGGTGGGGCAGGCAGCTGCCGGAAGCGCCAGGGCTCAGAGCGAGACGCCCACGCTGAGGCCCCCAGACACGTGTGAGCGGAGGGTCCCGCCCCGTGTGCGGCTGGGACCGTCGAGTCCACCGTCCTCTCCGACCTGCCTTCCCTTTCTGTCGTTTTTAGTGGCTGCCAAGGCACCCGGCCAGGGACTCGCTCACTCTGCGGCCCACGTGGCCGGGAACTGCGCCCGAGCCGTCCACGCCCGGTGTCCCCGCCAAGGTTCCAGCACTGCCCATGGGGATGGACATCCCCAGCCCGGTCTGGACCGCGCCCCACGCCCCCCGCAGCGGCGAGCAGCCCTTACCTGCAGACAGGCCCACAGGTTCGGCCCAGAAACACCGCATGACTGGCAGGTTCCCTGCGGGAAGTGAAGGGAAACAGCAGAGGGTGACCACCTGTGGGGGGCCCTCCCAGAGCCCCTGCCCGCTCTAGGCTGGGGGAGCCACGCGCCCGCCCCCGCTGACGCTCAGTCCCCGGACGTGTCGGCTGAAAGGCTCTGTTCGCCTCGGAGGGGCCCGCTCCGGCCCCTCCCGCCTGAGTTCGGTTCCCCATCTCACACTTTATGGTTTTTTGTTTGTTTTAAAGATTTTATGTATTTATTTTTAGAGAGAAGGGGAGGGAGGGAGAAAGAGAGGGAAACATCAGCGTGTGAGAGATACACCAACCGGTGCCTCTCGCACACCCCCACTGGGGACCTGGCCCGCAACCCAGGCACGGGCACTGACTGGGAATCCAACTGGTGACCCTTTGGTTCACAGGCCGGCGCTCAGTCCACTGAGCCACACCAGCCGGGGCTGCACTTTATTGTTTGAATTTTGTTTCATTGGATGCCTGCAAAAACATTTCCAGTGAAGTCATTTGGAACTCGGACCCCTTCATCTGCGACCTCCTCTCCCCTTCGACCCCGCCCTCTCCCCCCAGCCCGACCGCGGGCTCCGTGAGACGGAGGCGGTGGGTTTCGTCCACCCCGGTGACTGCACGGGGTCTGGGCACATGAGGGGGTCCATGTGTTTGCTGGTCACAGAAGCACCCAGGTTACTGGCGGTCCGGGTGGCAGAGCCTCCGCCCGGTCTGCCGGCGTCTCCCCTCCTCGCTTTAACAAGAGAACGCACGCGTCCTGGGCACCTCGCCGGCCCGCTACAGACGGCTTCCCGGCCCCGCTGCGGGGCAAGCGGCGCATGCCTGGCTCTTGCCTCGAGACGGGGCACGTCTACGAGGCCGTTCCCCGCAGCGCCGTTCGTTTCGGCGGGCGGTGTCCTGCCGAAACGAACGTGTGTTCCCAGAATGCAGAGGCCCTGAGTGTGGGTCTCGGCCCTCTTTTATTCGTACCTTGGATTTGAGCAGCAGGTCATCTTTGGTCACCTCCCCTATGGAGTCAAGGTGAGGGCAGAGGTCCCTGGAGTCCCCCATCCTGGCTGGGTCTCACCTGCGGGAAAACACAGGAGTCCTGGGTGAGACTCTGCGGCCACTGCTCAGGGCAGGTGGGGGCTGGTGGTCATGGGCACGACCCTGGCCCCGTGGCCTGGCTCAGCCACACCACCAGCCGGATCTCTGGCTTGGGGTGAAGAGAACCCCACCCCCCGGCGGCTCAGACGAGTCGGGGACACTGTGGGGGGGCCTACCTCTGCATACCGCGACTGTCCCAGGAAGCAGTCAACATCCACATTCTCTGTGGATGGCCAACGGTGGCGGCTGCAGGGGGCTGGAGTGAGAGGCCTCGGGCAGGGACCCTGTGGGGACAAACCAGCGTATCGGAGGTAGTGCCGCTGTTTCCAAGTCACTCAGCACCGACCAGTGGTGCCCGCGGACCCTTCCCGAGCCGCTGAGGGCATCACCTCTGTGACTCCCCAGAGGGGACACACGCAGGCTCTGCAGGACAGGGCCACAGGCCCTCTCCAGCCATCGCCGCCGTGGCTGCCACCGCTGTCACCCTCGGGACAGAAGCCTCAGTCCCCTCCACACATGCCACTGGGACCTTCAGCTCATCGTCCGAGCCTCCCAACGACCTCTCAGAACCCCTGACCCCCGACTCCTGAGCAACCCCAGGCTACAGGCGTGACCGGGGTCATCCACTCATCACCACGACCCCCTTCCTGGGTGGGCCACCATCTCCCGGATGTGGACACTTCAAAGGGGAGCAATTAGAAGCTGACATTTTAAGTGGTCACATGACAATGACAGGGTTCAAGGCTCTAAATTCCAAACCTCCACCTGAAGCCAGATTTTAGGTTTTTTTCCATCTTTCGCACTGCGGTCGAGTGTGCTGGATTGCTGCTCAGACCACACTATTTTGCGCTGCGATGTGTGGTTTCTTTGCTGCTGTTTAAGCGTCTTTGGTATGTGCCCCACGTGTCCAGCTACAGGGCAGGGCCAGGTTATGAGCCTGAGGCCCAGCGCCGCGAACGGCGCCCTGGACGAGGACGACGGTGACAGGCCCACTCCCGCCTCCCACCTACCGTCAGACCACTTGAGTTCCTGCAACGTCAGATTTAAAAAAAAAAAACAACCCCGCAGCCAACAACCCTCTCTGACCCCTCACCGCCTGTTTTCCTGCCGCAGAGACGCACCTGGAGCCCGAGCAACCGAGGGACTTGGCCATGGTGGGTCGGCGCTCGGCTGTGGAGCAGCGGGCGGGGACCTGACTGGCCCGTCCGGGGCAGAGCCCCTGCAGACCAGGGCTCAGCGGCCTCGGCTGTGGAGCAGCAGGCGGCCGATATTCTAGACTCCGCTGCCATGCCAATCTTTACCACATATTCTTATTTTTGTTTCTTTTATGTACCATCCATTAAAATATATATTTTAAAAATTCTTATGCCCTGACCAGTGTGGCTCAGTTGGTGGGGCGTTTTTCAGTAAGGCAAAAGGCTGCTGGTTGGATTCCTGGTCGGGGCACGTGCCTGGGGTGCGGGGTTCAATCCCCAATTGGGGGTGTGGGAGAGGCAACTGATAGATATTTCTCTCTTTCTCCCTCCCTTCCTTTCTCTCTAGAAATGAATAAACAAAATCTTTAAAGAAAATTCCTAGCTCAAGGGTCCCACGAAACAGCCTTGGCCTGCTGCCAGCTGGCTAACCCCTGTTCTAAGGCCCTGTGCTGTCTGCTCTCCCCCAAAGCAGCCCAATCACTGGCAGTCCGCACCCCCCTGCACACCAGTCACCACCAGTTTATTTTTTTTAATTTTTTGTAAACATTAGTCGTTTTATTTGCCCTCTGTTTTTTTTAAGTTTTTAAAAAATTTCTATCATATGATATCACATTTTTAAAAAAGATTTTATTCATTTTATTTTTAGAGAGGGAAGGGAGAGAGAAAGAGAGAGAGAGAAACATCAATGTGCGGTTGCTGGGGGCTGTGGCCTGCACACCAGGCATGTGCCATGACTGGGAATCGAACCTGCGATGCTTTGGTTCACAGCCTGGGCTCACTCCACTGAGCCACGCCAGCCAGGGCTTGCCCTCTGTTTTTTTAAATATATTTTATTGATTATGCTATTACTGTTGTCGCATTTCCCTTCATTCCCCTCCACCCTGCACACCCCCTCCCACCCACATTCCCCTCCTTTAGTTCATGTCCATGTGTCATAAGTTCTTTAGCTTCTACATTTCCCATACTATTCTTGCCCTCCCCCGGTCTATTTTCTCCCTACCATCTATGCTACTTATTCTCTGTACCTTTCCCCCCTACCTCTTCCCATTCCTCTGTTGCTAACCCTCCGTGTGATCTCCATTTCTGTGGTTCTGTTCCTGTTCTAGTTGTTTGCTGAGTTTGTTTTTGTTTTAGGTGTGGTTGTTAATAATTGTGAGTTTGCTGTCGTTTTACTATACGTGTTTTTTTATCTTCTTTTTCTTAGATAAGTCTCTTTAACATTTCACATAATAAGGGCTTGGTGATGAGGAACTCCTTTAATTTGACCTTATCTGAGAAGCACTTTATCTGCCCTTCCACTCTAAATGAAAGCTTTGCTGGATAGAGTAATCTGGGATGTAGGTCCTTGTCTTTCATGACTTGGAATACTTCTTTCCAGCCCCTTCTGGTCTGTAAGGTCTCTTTTGAGAAATCAGCTCACAGTCTGATGGGAACTCCATTGTAGGTTACTGTCTCCTTGTCTCTTGCTGCTTCTAGGATTCTCTCCTTCATTTTTACCTTGGCTAATGTAGTTATGACGTGCCTTGGTGTGTTCCTCCTTGGGCCCAACTTCTTTGGGACTCTCTGAGCTTCCTAGATGTCTATTTCCTTTGCCAGATTGGGGAAGTTCTCCTTTATTATTTGTTCAAATAACTTTTCCACTGGTTGCTCTTCCTCTTCTCCTTCTGGTTCCCCTATAATTCAGATGTTGGATCTTTTAAAGATGTCCTGGAGGTTCCTAAACCTCTCCTCATTTTTTTGAATTCTTATTTCTTCATTGTTTTCTGGCTGTATGTTTTTTTCTTCCTTCTGGTCCACTCCATTGATGTGAGACCCAGCTTTCATTCCATCACTATTGGTTCCCTGTGCATTTTTCATTTCACTTATTGTAGCCTTCATTTTTTCATCTAATTTGTGACCAATACCAACCAATTCTGTGAGCTTCCTGATCACCAGTGCTTTAAACCTAGCATCTGATAGGTTGGCTATTTCTCGGTCGCTTAAAAGTATCGGTTGCGAGGATTTCACTTCTGTTTGAGCCATCTCCCCCTGCCCCGCCCTTTGGTCTGGTCGCGCCTATTACGCATGAGGGGCGGGGCCTTAGGTGTTCACCAGGGCGGGCACGCCAGTCGCTGGGTTGTGACGTTGTATGTGGGGGCGGGGTCTGAGAGGGAACAATGGCGCTGGCTCCGCTCTCTGTCGGACCTCAGTCCCTTCCGCTGCTTCCCCCTGGAGCAAACTGGTCCCCTTTGGTGCCGATTCCCGTGTGGGTGGGCTTGTGCACGCCGTGGGACCCTCCAAGGACCTCTCCTGAGAGGCTGGGAGTCTCTCCCTGCGCCTCACCCCCACAGGTGTTTTCAGTCGGGGCCCCGAGGCTCTATTTCCCGGCGCCGGGACCCTGGGTTGTGCGCAGTGCCTTGCTTCACAATTGCCGCCTCGCCGGGTCTGCCGGTGGCGACCCCTGGGCCGCGGTCTGCCCACTGCGGTCTTGCGAGCCCCAGGTGCCTTCCACGCCTGGTCCCAACGCTCTCTGCTGTCCAGGCCGAGACCCGCGCCGGCTGCCCGACTCCGCCCCTCCTGCCGGTCTGCATGAACGTGTCTATTTTAACTTCTTGGTTGTCCGACTTGCACTCAGATCAATTTCCTGTCAGTTCTGGTTGTTATTCTGTTTGTAAATTGTTGTTGTCCCTATCTTGGTTGTGCGAGGAGGCACAGTGTGTCTACCTATGCCTCCATCTTGGCCGGAAGTCCCAGTTTATTTTTTATTGTAATTTTTCCATCACCATTTATCCTTCCCAACCCTCTTCCCCCTCCACCCACCCCCCACCCCTTGTCACCACCAGTGTAAATAAGGCAAACAGCAAGGAGCAGTGCAGAGGGTTCGCTGGGCCCTGGTTGTGTCTAAATAATCGAGGGGGCGCACAGAGACAGGGTATAGAGCCTCCTGCTGCAGCGCCATCTCTGACCAGGGCCCCCGCACGCGGCCTCCGAGAACGACAGGCCACTGAGTGGACAACGGCACAGCCGCACACCATGATGCTGCAGAGCCACTGGAAAGGACGGTGTGCACGGTGAGTTTTTTTTTCTAGACATTTTCCATTTTTTTAAAGATTTTATTTGTTTATTTTTAGAAAGGGAAGGGAGGGAGAAAGAGAGAGGAACATCAATGTGCGGTTGCTGGGGGCCGTGGCCTGCAACCCAGGCATGTGCCCTGACTGGGAATCGAACCTGCGATGCTTTGGTTTGCAGCCCGAGCTCAATCCAGCACGGTGAGTTCTTTGTAAGTAGAAAGAGTAAACTCTACCAAGACAAGGTACGGTGCAGTCAACACCTACCCCAGTAAGTCACTGACTGCCGTTATCAAGTGTCGCGGACTGCACACCACCGTCCGTGCTACCCTTTTACACGAGTGACACACGCCGGCACCAGCCTTCCCATGAGCACGTGGGGGATGCCCTGCACCCTGAAATCACCTTATAAATGGCCACGGCCTCACTAGGCAGTAGGAATTTTTAGCTTCATTATATTTTTATGCGGTCCAATTTCTATCACCCAGGATTATTTCTGTCTGCAGTCGCGCAGACATAATGACTTTGGCCCAACGATGGACCGCAGAGAGGATGGTGGCTGCCTGGGGCAGAGGGTGAGGCCGCAGTGCAAAGAGGCAGGAAGAAAATTTCTGTGGTGTTGGAATGTTCTAGATCTCGACTGGGATGGGATTTAACCAGGTCGAACCTCAGGAAATACAGCTTTAAAGCGCATGCATTTTATTGTAGGTGTTGTAAGTAAAATTGACTAAAAGCGCTTTAAATCCCAACTTGTCTACAGCGCCAGACCAGCTCAAGGGTTGTCTAGGGCTGGGATGGGGAGGAAGACAGGTACCAGTCGACAACACTCTTTGAAAGGATACCGTTTATTGGATATAAATCACGCCTAGAAAATCCCTGATTTAAAACCCTGAAGAGAAGAAAAAGCCCCTGCGCTTTAAACACGTGACTGAGACCTATCTCATCAATACAGATGAAGACTCCGAGAATGCTGAATAATGCAAACAGGCGGCAGCACCTCACGCCCAGTGGCGTGGCTGCTCCAAACACAGCAACAATGGA